GCCCAGCTCTGGATGGGCCCTCCGCAGGCTGGTTACAGCCCCATGCTGAGCCTCAGGCACAATCGCCCTGCCAGCCTCACAGCTGTCCTGGTCATTAAAACCCATGGCTTCTGAGCTGCGTGGAACGTGAGTCATTAAAGTGAAATGGATCATCAGCGATCCCTGAATTTCTCAGAATGTGAGAGTCAGGCCTCACAGGGACGAAGCACCAGACTATCCAGGAAGGGGTCTAAGCCCACGTCTTTGCCCTTCCTAGGCAGCCCCCTGCCCACCTCCCAGCTCAGGACCAACTGCAGAGGCAGGTGGTCTTTCCCCCACACCCCGTGGCCTTCAGTGCTTGCGGCCTCAGGTGTCTGCGGTCTGCTGGGGAAGGACCRGGCTCACACCTGCCTCACCAGACACCACCAATGAAGGGCCTGGCGGGGCCTGGAGCTCCAGCCCCACCTCGGCTCTCCACCCKGTGCGGCTAGAGGAAGCACCCCTTGAGAGTTAGGACACCAAGCAGCAGCACAGCTGTGGCAGCCCCGAGGTCTGGGACCCAGCACTTCCTCGCTCTGGGCCCCAGATGCCCTCTGGGCCCTGGTTCAAGGTTGGCCCAAGGAAATTTCCCCAGCTCTCAGTCTCCCAGCCAGTTACCAGGTAACTAGAAACATCTGGAGCGCAGGGTACCCTGTCCAAGGGGCTGTTGTAAGTGGGATGCTCACAGAACAAAGGGGCTTCTGTTCCCCTGAGGCTGRGCGGTGGGCAGGGGACAGTTTTACACATTCAGTGACACAGAGAGAAATCACGTACTTGGTGTCGGTGATCCCGCTGGGTGAACCTAGGGTGGGATGGGGTGGGGGATGCGCAGCATGGTAATACCTGGGATTTCTAAAGATACTTCTAGCTACATGGGTTTTCTTTTCCTTTGTCCACTCAAAAGTTAGGATTTTTAGTTATAATACATACATGCAAACCCCATCCAAACCCTTACGCAGTTAATGGTAGTTGCTGCCCTTATATCTTTGACATTGAGCAGCAGTGTGAACTTGCAGTGTACTCTGATCCGAGGGGTGACGATCTCAGCAGGTCTCCAGCTTCTTCTCCTCCCACACTCAGTGTCAGCTCACACCCCTCATCCTCACAGGGTGGCTGCCATCAGTCCAGGCCTTGCATCTACCCACCACAGCACCCAGAGAAAAAGACCAGCGTGGCCCCTGTGTCCTAAGCACAAGTCCTGAGCTTCACTCTGACCRGGATTACTGGAGTCACATGCCCTCGATGCTACCATCACTCTAGCTGGCAGATAAAACTGGTCCAACCTGAGCTAGGTGCACATTGACACTGATATAGACATTTACACAAGCATGGGACTGCGTGTCACCTCTTTTTTATGACAGAAGATTGTAATTTTAAAAGCTGACCACCAAACATGTCTGGAAGGATGGCGCTCAGGACAGGAAGAATTCACCTGAGCCGCACAGGCTYGGGGCTCCTTCTCTCAGCCTGTGTCCTGCTGGGAGCCACAGAGCCCAGCTCCTGGCGGGACCATGTGCAGCCTCCTCAGGTGGCCCCCTCCACCCTCCACGGTGAGCCTCCTCCCTCGGTGAGGCCCTGCTGCAGAGCCAAGCTGAAATGCCGCTGCCAGTTCCCCATCAGCCGGCACCGCCTCCCTGCGCCTTCACAGGAAGCTCCWGAGCCCGCAGCCGTGACTCACGCACAGAGCCCGTGGATGGGGCCCCATGCCCACCGCAACCTGCAGGGTTCGCTGCGTTGCCTGGTGCCCATGCCAGAAGAGATTGGGTGTCCCGCGGGCAAGAGGCACCACAGGCCTGGGGCTGCGGTGGCTGCATGAGGCTGAGCCACAGGGGGTAGCAGGGGCTGCCAGACCCCAGGAACCATTTGGCTGGTCTTGGCGGTGACGTGGACATTTTCCCTGCGCTGCAGCAGTTATCCCCTCAAAGTGAGACTGAATCATACCCTCCAAACCTCAAGCCCGACAGACACACGTAATGCCCACACCCCTGAATGGGGAGGAGGGCTGACCCCGGCCTCCCTTCACAACAAAGGAACATTTGGGGCAATGCAGGGAAGCTGTCCCACAAGAGCTGCAGTCTCAGCCTGGCCACAAGTGAACCGAGGGACCTCGGCCGGCTCCCTCTTGGGGCTTCGGTTTCTGCATCCATATTGTGGGTAGAGTAAGCCCTGCCCTGCTCCCCCAGAGAGTGCCAAGGAGCCCCAGAGAAATGAGTCTGGGGGAATGGAGATGAGAAGGACAAAGCCCTGTCCTGTTACAAACTTGGGGTCACAGTGACTTGGTGGATATGCTGCCAGATCGTCCCATCTTGGCCACTGCCGGGACACRTTTCCTCCAGGAAGCCACCAGTCTTATGTGTAACTTTCCCAGACGTGGCCCTGCTAGCCCCAGGCCTCCTAACACCGTGGCTTTCCACAGTCTTCCTGGGAGGATGGCGGGACTGGAATCGCTCACCCAACTCCAGAGCCAGGAAAACCAAGGTCAAAAAATTCAGTGATTTCTCAAGACCACTCAGCAAGCTAGGGACAGGCTGGGAGGAAGACCCCGCTCCTGGACTCCTAGCCCAAGGACCTCACCCTCTACGGGGTCCCTCCAAGCAGGCCACAGGGGCCTCAGAGGTCCACTTTACAGAGAAGAGCTGTGAGGGTCCCTCCCTCTCCAGGCTGGGTCAGAAGACAGCAGTGGCTTTTCTGATTTAGAACATGAAACCCCAAGGCTCCCAGAGACACCCTGAGGTGCTTCTTGGAGACACTCTGTTCAGAAAGCACCACCAGCCAGCAGTGTCTTCAGGAGAAGACGCCCCCAGGAGGACTCAGCCACCTGTCAGGGGGACCTTAAAGATGGAAGCAGTTGGAAAAGCTAGCGAGGAGCCCTTGCTTGGAACTGGGGGTTGAACCCAGGGTGCTCTACCACTGAGCCACAACACCATCCATTTTATTTTTTGAAACAGGGACTGGCTAAGTTGCCCAGGCTGCCCTGGAACTTGCAATCCCCCTGCCTTAGTCTACTGGGAGTATAGTGTGGGCCAACACACTGGCTCAAGCTTCTTTACTGGTGGATCTCTCTCTCTCTCTCTCTCTCTCTCTCTCTCTCTCTCTCTCTCTCTCTCTCTCTCCCACTCCCTCCCCTCCTCTCCCCCCTCCCTCCTCTCCTCTCGACCCCCCCCCCTTTCTCTCTCCCCACCCCCACACGTCTCTGGAAAGAATGGAGCAGACTTGACCGTGACACAATCACTCCCAGAAATAAGTAGCCAAAAATCATGTCGTCTAGACAAACAGATTTTATAGGTCCAATTAATTCCTGCCAGTCAAAAATAGGCATGTTTAATAAGGGGCTATATTTAGACTCTGTCATTATCTGGCTGCCCAGGGGAGAAACCTCAGTTCTTATTTCACAGACACTTAATTTCAAACAGAGTTCTGTCGATCTCCCCTTGGGACCAGGCTTCCTTTCCTCGCGCCCCGAGCTGGGCAGGGGTGGGGGCACCAGGCGTCTGACCACGAGAAGCTACTTACGTCCTGTGCTCCTGAGCCTGTGGCCATCTCCTCTCAACCATCCTAAGCCAGAAAACAGCTGAGGGACTTTTCTTTGGGCCACGTGATGGGTAGCAGGCAACTACCAAGAGAGCACTGTTTACAGGACTCTGGAATGTCTCCCTGGTCCCTCTGTCCCCAACTCCACCTATCTCTTCTTCACCCCCTGGAACTAGGAGCCTCCTGGGGCCATCGTGAGTGTGGCAGCCATCCCATCACAGCACTGCTGTCCCCGGGAAAGAGTACCCTCTCCCGTCACTATTGACCATTAAGGCCTGAGCAGAGAGCCGGCCGGCACCCGTGTCCTGGAGGGCTCTGGGTGTGCCAGAGGACCCTCATGAGCTGGAGGCTTCCCTTCAGGTCAGACCAGGACTCCTGTGGCCTTCCTGATGGTGCTGCCTTCGGGGCCCTGGAGATGATAGTGGAGGGGGCTGTCCAAGGTGGACATCTCCCTGACCTCAAAGGTGAGCCCACAGCCCAGGGTCATGGGCTTCTCCTCCCAGGCCCTGCCTCTAGGGCTCAGCCAGGCCAGGAAAAAGTGACTAATCACTATTCCCTAGAAATATGGACAAAGACCATTTGTTTCCTGTGGCTGCTGCAATAAATGTGCACAAATGAAATGGTTCAGAACAACAGAAACGTCTTCTCTCACAGACCTGGAGGTCAAAACCGAAGCAGTGGCCCCTCTGCCCGCCTCCCGAGACCCCCGGGGAGAATCCTTCTTCGGTTCTTCAGCTTCTGGGGGCTCCAGGCACCCCTTGGCATGTGGCAGCAGTCCAGCTCTGTCCTTCCATCTTCACTTGGCCTTCTCATGTACTTCTATTCTGTGTCCCTCATAAAGACACCTGTCATTGGATTTAGGGGCCACCTGGATAATCCAGGGTGACCTCAACTCTAGGTCCTTAATTTTGTTCCATCTGCAAACCCCTTTCCTCCCGACAAGTTCACAAAGGTGAAGGCCCAAGCAGAAGCCCCAATTAGCAGGCCTCCCTGGCCACCCCTCCACCTTCCAGCTGCCTTGTCCACCTGAGCAAAGATACAGTGACCACTGAGCAACATGCCCAATCTGTCTGCCCAGCTGACAGATTCCCTGGTGAGATGAACAAGGGCCCTGCTGATAGTGACAGATAGTGACAGATGGGCAAGACTCTGGCTCCAAAAGCATCATTCCTTGGCAGCACGACCACCTCGACCCACCTCTCCACTTGACAAACTCCTAGTCACCTGTGAACACCCGGCCCCACCAGCACCCACTCCTTGGGCAGGGACTTGCCCCTCTTGTTTGTCGCAGGGCCTGTGTGGCCTTCCCCTCTGCATCTCCAGACCTCAGCACCAGACCCCAGGGGAGCTGGATTGTGGTCCAGGCCTGAGGGTTGGCCCATGGCTGCTGCTCCAGGCCTCCTCCCCGMCCTGCCTCCCCAGCACCTCTGCTTTCTCCCCTTCCTCTGCAGGCTGGTGGTGGGCGCCCCTTTGGAAACCAATGGCCAGCAGAAGACAGGAGATGTGTACAAGTGTCCAGTGATCCAGGGGAACTGCACCAAGCTCAACCTGGGTAAGTGTGGCCGCTGCTCTCTTCTCAAAGAGGCCGCCTCGTCCAGTGTGGAACAAGCTCTGAGGCATGTCCATGCTCACGGTCCCCCGGCTCCTCTCAGCTGCCCCGTGAGTGGCCCTGGCTGTTCTCACTGCCCTGATATTACAGAGGAGGAAGCCAAAGCCTGGGGAGGAAGCAAGTCCCCTCAGTCACGTGGCTTGTCGGGGCCAGATGGGCTTCGAAGCCAGGCCTCTGGCGTCCGAGGCTGCGGCTCTTTGAGTTTTCTCTCCCAGCAGGAGAAAACCATTTCCTGTCTTCTTTCTGATTTTGAAATACTAACAGCAGTAGCTGACACTCAAGGATACTAGATAATGTCCACCATCTGTGGGCACTTTTAAGGTATTTTGGTTCACTTAACCCCCTCAACACCCATCTGAGATGGAACTATTGGACAGAAGACAGAGCAATAGCACTTAAAGTGAGGGCACCTGTCCCACGTTGCCCAGTGAGCACGCAGCAGGGCCTAGACTCCAGTCCACCATCTTTGGCTGTGCTAACCACTGAACATTACTGCCTTTCTGAACAAAGGCTTTTCCTACTAAAGTGCTCTCAGGCCTATTCTGGAGCAGGAGGACAGGAGATGCTGGGAGCAGCCACAGTCTCCAGAGCCCTCAAAATCCACTGGGGTGCACCATGTGTATCCACTAAAGCACTTCCATTTTGTCCTAAAAGTCAGACCAGGCAGGCCATGGCTCTACCCTCAGAAGGGACCTGTCTCCTGTGGACTGAGAAACTGCAGCTCTAGGCACACCCCCAGAGGACTGGCCTTCCCCAGGGCCAGGATGCTGGACCTCCCCATCCTCCTCTTCCAGGAGGTGCCTCTGCCCTAGAGCATCCCATGGTGTCCCTGGGGGTGGAGGACAGGAGGGCAGCAGGGCCTGCAGGAGGACGTGCTGGAGACTAGAGAGTTAGCAGATGAACAAGAGGAAAAGCCCAAGAGTCCATCAGATCCCCGGGTGGCCAGCTGCCTGTCACATGGTGCTGGAGGCCCCTGCCGTCCACATCTGGGTCAGCACCATGGTGGGAAGTTCAGAACCCAGCTCTGCAGTGAGTCAGCAGAGCAGGGGAGGGAGCCTGGCTGGTGGCCTCCGGTCTGGTCATCTGAAGGGACCCAGGTGGGCTTCCCCTTCCAGCTGTCCAAGCTGTTTGCTATGAGGCCAGGGAGTTCACAGCCTCTCTCTGAGCCTCGATTTGCTCGTATGTAAAGTGGGCAGGGTGAATTCAACAACCCTAGGGTCTGTTCCAGGTCTACTCTGCCCTCAACCTTTTTTTTTTTAGAGCTGGGGATTAAACTCAGGGCCTCAATGACACTAGTCAAGCRCTCCACCACTGAGCCCCAGCCCCGGCCCCTCTGCCCCTCTACCTTTAATGAGTATTAATAGGTATGAAGCACTGTGCTTGTTAGTGATTGGGGTGCAGCAGGGAATGAGAAGCCAAGGGCCCTACTGGGAGGGGACAATGCATAAATAGACAAAGGATAATTTTAGGTGGAATAAGTGCTGTACAATAAGCCAGGAAGTGGTCAGGCAGGGAAGGCCTTTCTCAACAGGTAATATTTAAGCAAAGGCCTGACAGTGAGAAGGAGTAAGATGGCGGTAAAGTATTCCAGACAGAGGGAGAGCAAGTACAAAGGCCCTGAGGTAGGAGTTAGTTTGCTCCATTGGAGAATGCAAAGAAAGGCCATTTATGAAGTTGGCGCAGAGGGAACAAAGGAGGGGATGGGAGAGGTGGACACTGTACTCAGGACTCAGGCCACTGTGAGAAGTTCCTGGGACGGGCAGGGTATGGGCACAGAACTAATCATTTTGTTCTGCCTATTGCTCTGTCTTCCTATGTGAACCCCATTTCCCTCCAGAAGGAGAAAGAGACATAAAACCCTGGAAAACATTTCTGAGCTGGGGCACAAGCCCAGGAGGTAGTGAGGAGCAAAGTGAGTYGGGACGGAGGAAAACTGTCTTCATTTGAAGGATGGTTCTCTCTCTCCTGCTGAGGAAAAAAAAAAATGCAGGGCAGGAAGACCATCTGCCAGTTTATCCCACAGTGGAAAACCAGGGCGGGGGCGCCTGAGTCCTGGGTTTCCCCGGCCTCTCCAGGCACTGGGCGGCCCTGAGCCAGGAGTTCTTCTGTCTCCAGGGAAAGCTCGGYGGCCTGTCAGTCACTCACACGTCAGTGTGGTCGAGCCTCTCCCTTGGCAGCCCTCCCTCGCACCTGGATGAAGTCAGGGTCTTCAGTGAGGGACGGGGTGGAGGAGGTGACRTGATGCTGGACGGCAGACCCCACGAAGGCAGGGGCTTCTGCCGGGGGACCTTCCCCAGAYCTGCAGAAGAGGGCACCCGTCTCTCCATTGGTAGAAGCAGGAGGAAGCAGTKCTGGGACCCGAGTCCCCGTCCTCCAGCACAGGGGTCTTTCCCCGTGCCTTCTGCCCCTGGCAGTGCCACCTCAGCATGGACTTCAGTCCCAGGGCAGAGGAAGGAGAGAAGGCAGCAGGGAGGGTGACGAGGCCCCTCCACAGACCGAGGGCAGACTCCTCCTCGCTGGCTGGGCTGGAGTTTCCCGGGCAGATCTTGGAGCCTCCTCTGTGGTCCCCACTGCCACTGTGAGGCCGTCAGGTGGGGAATAAACTGAGGGCGTGACCTCCTGTGGCTGGGCTCAAGTCCCCGCTCTATTTACCAGGGAGTGACCCTGCGGAAGCCCCCGACCCTTTCCCTACTTTGACTTCCTTACCTGTAAGATGGCCAGGGTGCCACCGGGACCCCCCAGGACAAGAGGAGGTCCCAGGCAGGCAGGTGTGTGCAGAGCTCAGGGGGGACCAGGCCCCTCAGACCCCCAGGCTGCTCCTCTCACTTCCTCTCTGGCCTGTTTGCACAGACAAAAAAGAAAACAATCCCAGTCGCTGGGCACAGCCAAGGGGGCTGGATTTGATTTCCTAAGAGCCTCGCTGAAAACCCAGGGAAACCCAAGGAAAGAAATAACAAACTTGCTGCCCCCTCCCTCTGGCCACAGGGCAGTCACGTGTCCGCCCCACCCCCAGGGCCTGCCCTGCCAGTCCTTGCTGACCTGTGCCCCTGGGTGACAGGCCACCTCTTTATATCTAGTCACCCACAAAGCAGAACACAAACTATTCTGAGTGGAGGGTCCCAAAGCCCCCCGTGCAGGGAAGACACGAGGTCTCTCCTGGCAGCAGGTCAGGACTGACACACTCCAGCCCCGCCCTCTCTCTTCCTGTCAGTACACACACACACACACACACACACACACACACACACACACACGCCACTTCTGGGGGATTCAAGCTCATGTTTCTTCCCTTCAGTGTCTTGATGGAAGGATCCAGAAAACCCTAACTGATGTAATTGTTTTGGGTTCTAATCCACCACAGCCAACCCCCTGCCTGCACCTGGCAGGATGATAGCCCTTTCCCGGAGTATCCCACTTGGCAGTCAGATACAGACTGCGAGGCCTAGAAAGCTCCAGAAGTCTCCTGTCCAGTTGTCCTTGTGAGAGGGAATCTCTCCATCACCCTCTGTCACTGTGGCAGATGAGCAGAGAAGGGAGCCTGAAAGAGCAGGACCAGGGTTGGCAAGTGTCGGTGGAAGGGACGCTGCCTCAGTGGGCACCATGGTGTGTTTGGGGTGGGCACAGGGGGACGTTGGGGCCCAGTCAGATGACTGGTAGAGGAGAAGGCCTGGACTGGAGGAAGGCTCTGCCGTGGGTTTACTGTGTGATCTTCAACCATTGCTTGGCCTCTCTGAGACTCAGTTTGCACATCTCCCAGGGACCTGTAAGGAAGGAATGAGATGGTGTCTGGGGAGCAAGGGGACCCAGGCTCCTCAGGGACCAGCAGCAGCAGAAGCAGCAGCTCTGGGCGGAGGGTGGGCAGGAGGGGGCTGCAGGCTAAGCATCTCCCCCGTCCCCAGGAAGGGTCACCCTATCCAACGTGTCTGAGCGGAAGGACAACATGCGCCTCGGCCTGAGCCTCGCCACCAACCCCAAGGACAACAGCTTCCTGGTAAGAGCCACCCGCCCCACTGTGCTGCCCAGCCCTCCCTGCCCACCCAGACCTGCTGCATGGAGTGAGAGAGGTCKGGGATTGAAAGTCCTCACACCCCATCGGCACCTCAGACTTGCTCACTCCACCCAACTCCACCCCAGGCCCAGCAGAAGGAAGCCCCTCCACAGGCTTCTGCCTTTCCTGGTGTCTGAGGGGACACCCAAACACCCAGGGAAGTGTCAGTTTGGAGGGGACAGTTCAGGCAGAAAAAAGGATTGAGCCCTTTGTGTGCATACCCAGGGTAGAGGAGCAGCTGGAAAAGGGACAAGGATAAACACAGCCAACGCTGACAGGGACCATCCATTCCTTGGGAAGCCAGTTTCCTGGGGCAGAGGCCAAATCCCACATTGAATAAAAGAAACAAGACATGTCACTCCACCTAAGACTGTAGGGAAACCAGAAATGAAGAGACACAGTTGCACTGCCACCCAGGGAAGGGATATGGAATGGCAGGCCATCTGGACATCTGGGATTGAATGTGGCAGGCTGGGAGAGGTTCCTGTTTTGTTTTACAGACAGGTCCTAGCAAAGAAGAAAGAAAAGAAGGTGTCTGGGCTGCAGTGGCAAAAACGCTCATTTGTTTAGACAACTTTTTGAGCACCTAGAGTGTACTGAGCCCAGTGCAGGCCCCTGGGGACTCAGCAGTGCCCAGAGCTCCTGCTCCTGGTTCTGGTTGGAAGAGAAGCAAATAAGTAACACATGTGATGCTGGGGACAGGAAGACATCAGTGGGCCATCTTGGGGGTCTGTCCCCTACCCCAGGAGCACACGCCAGCACTGACTACATTCTGGGAGCTCAGTGGCATAACTGATGGGCAGCACCTGCTCCCTGCCAWAATGGGTGATGCTTGGTGCTCCAAACAGGATCCTTCTGGGCCTGATAGTTCCTACATGAGGAGATTTCAGGAAAAAATTACCCCAGAAAGTTCAACACAAGGTACCACCCACTTTTAAATGGGGGGGGGGGCTTGTGTCACTCTCTGTTTTTGTCCATCAGTCCATTTCTGCTGGCAGATGAGACCTCTGGGGTGTGCAGCACCAGCATCAGGATGCTTCCATATACGTGCATGTCAGGTCCTCCATTATCCCCAACCACAGGCAAAGCAGGGCCCCACCCCGTCCACACACACATCCTTTAGGGCCTTTGTCTCCACTCCCTTTTCTGCCTGAAGCTCCTTGTCACATTCTCACTGACTTGATTTCACTTACTTCACAAGGTGGGATGAGCTCTAAGAGGACTCCTCTTGGAGCTTGGAGCTCCCTGGGAGCAGCTTTTAGCCTAATATGGTAGCCCAATCCTGTAACCCCAGCTACTCAGGAGGCTGAGGCAGGAGAATTGCAAGCTCCAGGCCAGCCTGGGTAACTTAATGAGACCCCGTCTCAAAATAAAAAGAACTGGGGATGTAGCTCAGTGGAAGAGCATCTTTGGATTTAATTCCCAGTACCATAAAGAGAAATTAAAATAAATAAGTGCCTGATTCTTTGTTAACTCATTCACTCATCCATTCCTCGATTCACTCATCAGTCCAACCCCTGCCAATCATCCACCCCTCTATTCATGTATCCATTCAATCATTCATCTACACATCTGTCTACACCTCAGTCCAGTTACTCACCCTTCCATTCAGACATCCATTCTTCCATCCATCATCCACCCATCCACCATCTGTATACCCATTCATTCACCGTCCATCGGTCGTCTACCCAGCTATTCATCCATCGTCTTTCCATCTACCCATCCATCCTTCCATTCTTTATTCCCTCCTTTATTCCAAAATAATTGACAGCAGTTTCAACAAAAGACACAGATAAATCATAATCTTTAAATGTAGGTTAAAAAGAAAGCTAATTAAAGAAGTGGTTTGGGAGAACAATTCCTCCCCTAAACCGAAGGAAATTACTGCACAAAACAGCCTGGGGTGTCCTGAGAGCAGGACAAAAATGGAGGCATGGAGCTGAGTTTCCATTTTTAACAACCCTACCTCTGAGAGAGACTCATCACTTCAGTCCTCCAATGAGGGTGTGACATCAATGCTTTTGGGTGCAAATTTTACAGAAATAGCAAAGACCTTTTTTTTTTTTTCATCTTTCCCTAGTAAGAGCATGGCATGTTGTTGGGACCCAGTCCTGGAAAATTGCCCAGTAAGGACCATCAGGTGGCCTCTGCAGATAAAGGATCTTGCCTAGTGACCCTTGAAGGGTCCACTCCCAYGACTGTGGAGTGTCCCTAGATTTTCCCTAGATCCTATGTGGTGGGTGGGGTGGGCAGTTGGAGGAAGAAGAGTCACACCCTAAATAACAAAATGGAGAACGAGGTCTTGAAATCACAACAAAGGAGGACTCCAAGACTGGTAGCTCCCCATTACCCCTGACACAAAGGGAGCTGGTGCACACTGCAGCAAGAGAAAGCATGGTGAGACTYAACAGAGACCCTCTCACCCCTGGGGACAACGACACTCTGAGAAAGGATGTCTGCCAGGGTCACGGAGGTTGGGGCTAGACCATGGGCCGTTGGGCCGGGCCCTCTCTGCCTCACCCACTGACCAGGGGCCTGCACTGTACTTCTCAGGCCTGCAGCCCCCTCTGGTCTCACGAGTGTGGAAGCTCCTACTACACCACAGGGATGTGCTCAAGAGTCAACTCCAATTTCCGGTTCTCCAAGACCGTGGCCCCAGCTCTTCAAAGTAAGTGGCTTCAGATCTACAGATGGGCTGAGCTGGGGACAGTCTYGGAAGGCTTGGGGCTCTGGTCACTGTTATCCTGGCTACAGAGCAGCATTTGGTTGGACTCTAGTTCCGCCCTGCCCCAGCCCTTGGGATGACCTAGGATCAGGTCACTTGGTTGGGCCTCTGTGGGATCATGTTCCTGGTGTGCCCCCCCCCCACAGTGTGATGGTGGGAGAGAAAGAACTAGGGTTGTGAAGACAGCCCTGGCACCAAGGGCGCCTCACTGCRAAGACCCTTTGCATGAGAGGGGTTGCCAGGCCGCCACGTGCCACAGACCGTCCCCAGGAGCCATTCACTTAGACTGTAATGCATATAATGCTCCTGGTGTTGAGTAACACCCAGCAGGAGGAGAGCCATRGGGTAGAGAAAGGTCCTTGGCAATGATTATGCTGGATCCGTTCTCCCGGGCTTCGGGGAGTTCAGCACAGCTTGCCCAGGGCTTTGTGGAAAACAAACCTTCCCTCATTCCCCAGCCACCAAGAAATCTGGGGAACTGGTGCTCAGACCTCACCCCAGAAAGCCCAGACGCCTTGGCTCTGAGCCCTGCTGTTWCCTCTGTGCTAAACACCCTCACCCAAGCAGCTGCTGCCCGTTTTATGGAGGGTGAGGGGATTAGCACCTCTGCTTGCARGCAGCCTCCCTCCAAACAATGGGGCCAGTCAGGGGTGGAAAGATGGGGCTGGGGAAGGGAGAAGGAGGAGGGTCAGTCTAACAGGGACTGACGAGTAGTCCTCTTAGGGCAACGAGGAGGACACTAAAGGGCAGGAAAGGCAGTGCCAGAGCACAGGAAGAGGCCCACATCAGGCACGCGGGTTTCCACTGGGAACATCATGTCCCTAGAGCCACTGTTCTCTGCAAATGGAAATTTGACCATTCCAGCCTCCCTAAGCCTCCTCTAGCAGAGGCCTCCTGGCCCRGCCAGCCAGCAGTGTCCTGACAGCTGATCAAATACAGACGCCAGGCCACCCCGTGTAGACTGCAACCCAGTAGGTGTGGGATAGGCCCTGGTGTGCGTGGAGAGAGGAGGGCGGGGGACCTCCCCAAGAGAGTGTTCAGCCAAGTCGTTCAGGAACCGCAGACCAAAAGCCACATTCTTCCCAAGGTGTCTTTTTTTAAAAAGTTGAAATTGTAAGAAAGAAATCAGTGATAAAAATTGCATTCTAATAATAAAGATAGTTTAAAAATAAAAGAAACCTAATCCCTCCCAGGAGATCATAAACTCCTCCAAATCAAGTCATTTGGTCTAGTCTCCCTCCGTGGCTGCCAACGCCGGGCAGAGTTCTGGCGTATCAGGTGCTCAGTCCAAATGTGTTGAGCTAAACCAAACTGGAAAAAGACAACTCCATCTGGCTCAGTCAGGCCAGAGTGTCAGGTCACTGCCAGCTGTACACAACAAGCCAGTGGCAAGGTGTTGAGCCTCCCAGTCACCCAACATTTCCCAAGTGCTCCATCAAACTCAAAGCGCCAACAAGCCCCTGGGCTGAAAGCCACCACCTTCCTCTACCTGGGAACACGGAGTTCCACAGGACACTTTCACTATGCAAGGATKCGGGGAATGGCTAACACAGGACAGGCTCCCAGCATGGTTAAGGAAGACCTTCTAACAGTGTGAAAGGTCCACTGTGAAATAAGCAGATGCCCAGATACATCATGTAGGCTATCTTCCAAAGTAACCCTGACCATCAGCAAATGTTGCTTAGATTTTAAGTCTTTTTTTGAATATTTGTTACAGTGCCCAMGTCTGATTCATTTTCTTTGTTAATTTTTATTATCCCCTTTAACTTGGTATTAATATGAAAAAATATAAAGCAAGCTTTATGTTCAGACGTAAAGGCCGAGAGCTTGACCAGATGAGGTCACTGCCACATTAACTCAGTGATTTACTTTTAATAAATAAATAAAAATAGAATCAACTAAGATTTCTTGAGCTTTGTGCCCAACCCTTTAGAAGAATCTTGCTAGTTCCTCGTGGCAACTGCTATTTATTTTTATGCCTCTTTCAGTGCAGAGAAAACTGATGCTAAGAGGTTACATGACTATCCACAGGTCACACAGCTAGTGAGTGGTGAGCCCAGGAGTCAAAATCACCTGAGGTCAGAATCCAGATTCTTAGTCCTCCCTAAATGTGAAATCCTCTCATTCGGGCTGCCAGTGGTGAAAGCCAGAGGCTTGTTWCAGTGAAGCAAATGACAAGAGGCCCTCATGTGGGCAGAGCCACCTGCCTGGGAAGCTTTGACCAATTGGCACTGGTCAGTTCCTAATCAAGAGCAGAGGTGGTCAGGCTTCTTTTTTGTTTTGATCAAACAGCCCACAGAGTGGTAGAACAGAGCCAGGAAACCCCAGACGCGTCATTCACATTCCCCAAACATGCTGAGCCCAAGGTGCTCCTCAGTCCAGGGAATGACACACAGGTAGCAGTCAATTCTTCTGTCCTCCTCTGAACAATCATCCGGAAAATCAGAGATGTRCATCCACTGGTTCCTTGGCTAGCCATGACCCTGTCCTCACTTCCCAGGGTGCCAGACCTACATGGACATCGTCATTGTCCTGGATGGTTCCAACAGCATCTACCCCTGGGTGGAGGTCCAGCACTTTCTCATTAATATCCTGAAGAAGTTTTACATTGGTCCAGGGCAGATCCAGGTGAGTCTCTGGGGCTCTTTCCTCCTCTCAACAGGATCTCCCCGCTGAGCCCACTGACCCATGCTGCCTGGGGGTGTCAAAGAGCATCTTCACATGCCCTAAGGAAGTGCACAGGAAACCTTGGCCAGCCAGCACTGGGTCCCTGCAGCCTAGGATGCCAAYCCCTAGTGAGCACATCAAGGGACAGTTTGGGGAGGCCACACTTCACAGGCTGTCTTCTGGGTAGACCCCACCTACGAAGACGTTCTGAGCAGGAGGGTTGGAGGGCTGAGCAGGCCCCACAGCCCTGCAGAGCAAGGGCAGGAGCATTAGGATTGGTTTTGGAGAGAAGACCAGAAGGTCTGGCTCAAGATAGGGTATTCACTCCTATTATTTTGACTAAATGAGGATCAATGGATAAAAGTTTCAAGATGGTAGATGGCAAGTCACTCTAAAAAATTATTTTTCACAAGTAGAGCTGTTGAAGAGGGAGTGGAATTTCTCATGGAGTCAGTGTTCCCCRCCACTGAGAAAACAGCTCTTAGGGCATCCGAGAGGACGTCCAGCATCTGAAGGGGACTTGTGCCAAGTAAACTCAGTGGGCCATCCAACGGCAACGTTTATCATTTAATCCCTACTATAGGCCATTAAGGGTTGTTTTTTTATTATTATTTCTGAGCTACTAATGTTGCCTATATTTTATTATCCTTGGGGATGCAAGAGCCTCTTCCCTTCCATTTTTTTTTAATATTTATTTTTTAGTTATAGTTGGAYACAATACCTTTATTTATTTATTTTTATGTGGTGCTGAGGATCGAACCCAGGGCCTGGCACATGCTAGGCGAGCCCTCTACCACTGAGCCACAATCCCAGCCCTTCCTTCCAGTTTTAAAGAATCTTGATTTTAGAGTTTGGAAACAACACCAAGGCTCTCCACCCACACTGCTCCTGCTAACTTAGACATCCATGCTGTGCCAACTGTTTTCTTCCAAAGAAGACATGTGATCAGTCAGTCAGGCCCCTCCTTAGATCACAAGATGCCCTTACTCTGTTTGTGGCCCCATCTCGTCCCACTGAACCATCTATTCATTCCTGGAATAATGCAGAAGCTGCTTCCCCTGGGCTGCGGTGACATCTTGGGAAGGGTGATCTCTCACTCCCGAATCATGACAAGGGAAGATCATTCCTGGGGACTCTTGCCACCAGAGGTCTAAGTTTCAGGGGCCAAGACGTTCCTTCAYGCTCTCCTCCACCATGCAGGTTGGAGTTGTGCAGTATGGAGAAGATGTGGTCCATGAGTTTCACCTCAATGACTACAGGTCTGTGAAGGATGTAGTGGAAGCTGCCAGCCACATTGAGCAGAGAGGAGGAACAGAGACGCGGACGGCATTTGGCATTGAATTTGCTCGGTAAGAAAAATCTTGTTTTTTTAGATCTCAGATACTGTCCCAGGTATCTATTGCTGTGTAACAAACCACTGCAACGTTTGCTCCCTTGAAGCAATGATTTATTAATTTCCCCAAAGTTCTGGGGGAACTTTGACCCAGCTGGTCAGTTCTCTCTGGGTTCCCTCACATGGTTGAGTGTCATCTAGTGTCCACTGAGACTGTKATCATCCGAGGTTTGACTGCGCTGGATGTCTAGGATGCAGTACACAGGGAGATGGCAGTTGTTGCTGGCCTCTGGCTGGGAGGTCAGTGGAAGCTGGTGATCTAAACACCCACACATGGCCACGTGGCTTGATTTTCTCATGTCATGGCATCTGGATTCTGAGAGAAGTGTCCCAAGAGCAAGCTTCCTCAGAAACCCAGACTGCTGATGACCTCGCCTTGAAGTTCCAAAAATGACTTCTGCCACATGCTGTTGGTGGCACAAGTTCCCAAGGCCAGCCCAGATTCAAGGGGAAGAAATATGATTCTACCTCTTGATGAGGAATGGCAAGGTCATGTCAACATGACCTTCCTCAAGGAAGGGCGTTTGGGATGGGGGTATCATTGCCACCAACTTTGCAGAACGTGTTCTACCAAAGACACTCTGTAAAAGGATACGGGTTCCATGAAGGCAAAATCTAGTTCCTTAAAATCCCACCAGAACTCATTCATCCACATGAATGCTACCTGTAGACATGTCCACACAGAGGACCACAGGCTTATGCCAGGAAGACATTGCTCAAAACATGTGCTTACCCAGTGAAATTAGCCAGTTTTAAAAGCAATCCCACAAGCTCTCTCGAGCCATGGCTTAGACACTTAAGATGACTACGTCTAAGCCACTTAGATTTGAAATGTCTAAATTTTATGCCTACGAATGTGAGTTCTGCTACATTTGTTAAGACCACAGTCCCGACATATAGTCCCACCTCATTTAGGCTTAGTTGATGTGTTTCATAGAATTTCACAACACAAGAGCTACCTAGGCATCTCATGATTTTATGTGGTCAAAAGATTAAGATTTTTCCAACTTCATAACTTCTTACGATTAAGTCACTGCTCAACCATTGCATTTCTGTGTGCTGATAAAACTCGTTCTCAAGTGCTCGCTTCGGCAGCACATATCCTAAAATTGGAACGATACAGAGAAGATTAGCATGGCCCCTGCGCAAGATGACATGCTAATTCGTGAAGCGTTCCATATTTCTGTTTATGCCAGAGATGAAACCGAGTTCTACTTGGGCAAAAGATGTTCTTATGTATACAAAGAAAAAAAAAACAACACAGTGACTCCTGGTGACAAACCAAACAAAACCAGGGTGATCTGGGGAAAGGTAACTCATGCCCATGGAAACAGTGGCATGATTTGAGCCAAATTCCCAAGTAACCTTCCTGCTAAGGCCATTGGACACAGAATCCATATGATGCTGTGCCCCTCAAGGATTTAAACTAATGGAAAATAAATAAAGRTGGATTTGTGCTCTTGTAAAAAAGAAGAAGAGGAGGAGAAAAGAAAAGAAAACTCGTTCTAAAGCTCACTTTTTCTTCTCCATGGGAAGATGATGGCTCTTACCCATCTTTACGAGGAATGGGCCATTTTGCTGTTTTGCCGTCACTGAGGTGGGACCAGAGATGCCCAACAGGCCCTGGTGGAAGGGCTGGGCAGCAAAGGGAACCAGTGACCACCGGCTAGTGTGGTGCTGACTGACTCACACAAGAATGAAGCCACTGTTTGGTCATTCCCCTTCTGCAGCCCACCAACCTTGAGTCAATGACATGCATGTGACTCACCAGGTAGTTTGAAGCATTAGTAACTCAGGATTTGCAACTCCTGGGTTGTAATTTCACCTCCACTGAATTTTGAAATTCTCATCTTCCAGTCTGCCAAGTTCAGGTCCCAAATTATAGCTGGTGCCTTTTAAGATGAAAGGTTTTTTCCCCTCACCTGGTTATTCATAATGAGGGTTTTTTTTTCTTTTTTTCCCCCATGTACCTACTAAAGGACAAAGATTCCAGCCATGAACTTGAGGGGCTACAAAGATGGTAACCTGTGGCCTTTAGCCTTGGCAGCTCCCAGCCCAACATAGGAACTCTATTTTTTTTTCCAACATAGGAACTCTAACCAGTGTCAACCCTGATCCTATCTCAGAATGCAGAGAGACTGTCTCTCAGGCAGGCCCATGAGGGTAGACAGGAAAGGTTTACTGAGAGGTGGCCTTGGGGTGCACACCTGAATCCACTGAGGGAGCTGGCCAAGAGATAGCCAGGAGGGGGCATTCCAGGCTGAGGGAGCAGCCCACAGGCTCAGCATTGCACCTGGCACCCCCCAGGTCAGACAGCAGCTCACAGAGGTCATGGTCCAGGTCACACAGGTCTGGTGGGACTTCATCAGGACCTGGTCTTTTCCTGAGAGAGACAGGAACYAGAGCAGATGCTAAGCAGACCAAAGACATGATATGAGCTAAATTCTGTGGGTCACTCTGGTTTTTAGTTGGGTGGGTCTTGTTGTGACTATAAAGTTCTTACTGCTCTCAAGGAATTTGTAATCTCATTTACGAAGGAACAGATCCAAGTCCCTTTACCCAACACAAAATCACAACTTAAAAATCTGATGATTCATGCTGATATTCATACTATTACAGATTCACAGAGATATTCACACTATTCTGCTATATGGAAATATGATCCTGAAGTTTTTCTTGGCTCTCAATGTAATAAAAACTGCTATTCTCCTGCCATAATTTTCTGTATGAAGTTTTTATTCCCTGAGCCTGGCCCTTCGTGGAGGTCACAGAAGCATCTAGAATTTCCTTTGAGGGAAGAGCAGAGTTCTCCCTTCACTAGGCTGGGCTTCAGCCCAAAATCTGCTCTCGTCATGTGGAGTGGGCCTCTATGGCCTTTGGGTCCACAACTCATACTAAAATTAAATGGGATTTTTTAAGGCAACATGTCCAGAATATCAGAGAGCTACAAAGAGAACAGCAGATGGTTTTCCCTCTTCACTGGCTGCCGCAGTCTGGCTGGGCACAATTCACCAGCCACTTGTCAAGCAGAAATGAACTTTATTTTTAGAAYACACACTGCACCACACGAGCTCTTCAGGAATTCCCTCAGAGCCCAACTGCCACCACCAGCTTCCGGSRAGCCTCTCAACCCCCACTCCTCCTGCTCTTGAGGCCGATTGGCTGGGTCATGTGGGYGGAGCCAAAAGAGTCCCCCAATGAGCAGCTCCATGGTCTGAAAGGGCGGGGAAACAGACCAATGAGCATCACCACAGAGGAGCCAATCAGCTGGAAATTTGCTGGGGCCGTGGTGAGCCAATCAGCTGGAAGTTTGCTGGGGCCACTTCGGCTGTGGCTCTCAACATCTCCTCCTCTCTGTTTAATTAAACAACAAGCATGTGGCTTAGGGACTGTGCCTGCCTTAGGTTGTCCAATACTACATATGGTCCTTACCCATCATCTTAGGTTGGTCTTCAGGGCTTCAGCCTCCTGTCTTACGTTGGTACCATTGCAATTGGATCTTACCTGTCATTGACTACCGGCCCAGCATACAGCCACACCTGTGGATAGGCCTTTGTACTAGTGGGGGGGGGGTGAGGTTCTTTGCCTCACCTCTGTTGGCCCCCAAATTTTAGCTGAACGACCATCACAAGCAGAAGGGAGGAGGATACACCGGCTCCTTTTAGAAAAATTGTACCATTGATGACACCATCAGCAAAAATACCCCGCACTACCACAAGTTGCTGCACCAACAGATAGTTCACAATGTATACAAGTGATACATAGTTGAGGCAAGTTCTGCAAGCAGTTCAGTGATAGCTATTGCAGAAGCTGTAGTTTGGTTTTATCTTTGTCTTCACCAGCACTGGGATGAAGATAGGAATTCTGGCAATAATGGCTAAAGAAAAAATTATGTAACATTCCAGCAGGCACTAAAAGAAAACAATTTTCTGAACAATTTACATTATCCTGAACAGAATTATTAAATATAATGAAAAGGAAAGGTGAAAGTAAACAAACAGATCTGTTAACCTCCTTTTTTGTTCACATATTAAAACAATCCTCAAAAGCTGTTTACACAATTTAAATTAAACCATTTAAATCACGTGAATAAGGAAAAAAAATATTTGGATCCATTTTTTCATGAGCGCTCGTCATATATGATATATGGACATATGCACATACAAACATACAACACAAAACACAAGTGTGCACACATAATATAATACATACAACACATAACATAATAGTAAAGGCCTTGTAACTTTTTACAGGTGAAATCTCCATTGCAATGTTTAAAAACTCCATAGTCAAAAAATAGAACTGATCAGCAAAACATTAACCTAGGTCTGTATGAGCTCAAAAAACAAAATAGAACTTCATGATGTGGGAAAGGGCAATAATAAAAYAGATATTGAAAAAARMATCCTGGTTTCATTAGCCTCCAGGTGTGGGAGAACCACTGTCGCAGATGTAAGGATAGCCAAACTGGAGTTCTGGATATCAGCTGTTATGGATTTGAGCCAAATCATCTTCTTTTTGGTCTGTAGAAATCGCTTTAGTTAATCTCTCTGGAATCCAAATCAGCTGCTGTTCTCCCTGTGGAAACACATAAACAGAACCCCGACTCCAGACAATCACTGGATCAGGACCTTTCCATTGTCCTGTTAGAATATCCTTCCAAAGTACCTTGGGCTTATGTACATTTTTTGGACATGTATGCCTTTCCACAGCACTAAGCCCTGATGAATCCAAATTTTAAAAGTTTAGAGTAAAAAGGGTTATTTTAAGTTTATCTTTGAGGGATTTATACCCCTTCCCAATACCATCTTTTTGCTTTAATAAGTACATTTTAATAGTTTGATGATCTCTTTCAACTATGCCTTGTCCCTTTGGACTGTATGGGATTCCTGTTATATGAGTAATGCCAAATGATGAGCAAAATTGTTTAAAAGAGGTAGAAGTATAGCCAGGACCATTATCTGTTTTTAACTGTTTTGGAACACCTACAATGGAAAAATTTTGTAAGCAATGAGCTATAATATCTTTAATTTTTTATCCAGTATGAAGGGAGCCCATCAAAAATCCAGAAGAAGTATCAACTGTAACATGCAAATATTTTAATTTTCCAAATTCTGGCAAATGTGTAATATCCACCTATCTGCCAAATATGGTTAGGTATCAGTCCTCTAGGATTGACTCCAAGATTAACTTGTGGTAAAAAGGTCACACAATTTTGACATTGTTTTATTATTTGTCTAGCATGTTCCTTAGTTATTTTAAAACGCTTTTATAAAGTATTAGCATTGACATGGAACTTTTTATGAAAATTTGTAGCTTCTTCTAGTGTAGAGAAAATATGTATGCTTCACTGTTTTGAAATCTAAAACATGGTGAATTTGCTGCCCTCCTGCCTGTTCAAATATGGGGCATGCTAATCTTTGAGATCCTGTCTCAGGATCCCATCTATCAACTATGGGGGTTGGGGGCCTCCCAGCATATGGAGGTGGAGCTGTTGGTTGGACACTTACGCCCTCTGGTGATAGAAAGGTGTTAGTAACAGCCTCCTGTTGTAACTTCTCCCCTGATGGCTTTTCCTCCTTTAAATTTTCTTCCTCTGTCTGACTAGCTCGAGAGACCTTCTCTTTTACTTGTAAAAGAAGAAGTAGAAGAAGAAGAAGATAGTAGAAAAAGTAAAAGAGACCTTCTCTTTTACTTTTTCTACTATAAAGATAACGCAACCCAACAAGAAAACACCAAACAAAACCAAAACAGAATGAAACAAAATTGGAACAAAAATTCATTATATCAGCCTTTCTATCCTCCTGAAATGTCCATCCATCCTTTCTCCCTATCAGACGCAAATAGTTTTTCCTCAGATGTGAGCAGTTTTTCTTCCGTCTCACCCATCTCCAGGGACAGGCAACTTAAAACAAAAGCAAAACAAAATGAAAGAAGAATCTTAAAATTACTACCCATCCTCTTGCCCTGCCCTCCGGGGCGAGCAGTTTACCTTATCCTCAGTCATTCCCCGTGCAGGCCACCAAATGCCGCAGTCTGGCTGGGTACAATTCAGGAGCCACTTATTAAGCAGAAACGAACTTTATTTTTAGAACACACACACCCCATCACACGAGCTCTTCAGGAATTCCCTCAGAGCCCAACTGCCACCACCAGCTTCCCACAAGCCTCTCAACCCCCCCCCCACTCCTCCCACTCTTGAGGCCGATTGGCTGGGTGGCATGGGCAGAGCCAAAAGAGTCCCCCAAAGAGCAGCTCCGTGGTCTGAAAGGGCGCAGAAACAGCCCAATGAGCATCACTGCAGAGGAGCCAATCAGCTGGAAGTTTGCTGGGGCCGCTTCGGCTGTGGCTCTCAACATCTGGCAGCTTGAAGAAGTTCTGAGACAACTTAGTCCAAGTTTTGCGAATTCCTCAACATCAAAATCACATGCAAAAGCTCATCATGTGACAAGCTTGTCATGTAACAAGTTACCTCTGCTAACCCAAAGGCTACGGGTCTTCAGCCTGTCCTTACAGAGCTTAAACCTGAGGGCTGTCCTTCCTGCCTGGCAGTGGGTCAGACTCATGAGAATCACTGCCAAGTCCACAAGTGACATTAATTTTTATATCTTAAGTGGAAAATTCTACCTGCTGGGCCAGACTCTTGGCAAGACCATAGGTATACTCAGCACACTATGGTCTAAAGGAGAGTTGATCACAGAGGCACCAAGAGCCAATTTTTCATGTTTAGTAGACCAATTGCCAACTGTCAGAACCCCTTTGCCATATTGGGCGTGACTGGGCTAGCCCTGCTGTCCCCGGGCTGGAGGGCCCAACAGGTAAGCCAAGCTCATGCTCCAAGCACTGAAAATTAAAAAGTAAGAGAACTATTTTCCATTTCATTTTTTAAATTTTTTGTTTTAATTAGTTATACATGACAGTAGAATGCACTTTGATACATCTATCAATGGAGTAAAACTTCCCATTCTTCTGATTGTATGTGATGTAGAATCCCACTGGTCCTATATGTGTACATAGGGTAATAATAAATGTCTGATTCATTCTACTATCCTTCCTGCCCTCAGAGCCCCTCCCTTCCCTTMACTCCCCTCTACCTAATCTAAAGTAATTGTATTCTTCCCTAGCATTGTGAATTAGCATCTGTATATCAGAGAAAACATTTTGCCTCTGTTTTGGGGGGATTGGCTTATTTCACTTAGCTTGATATTCTCCAGCTCCCTCCATTTTCTGGAAAATGCCATATTTCATTCTTCTTTAAGGCTGAATAATATTCCAGCATACACTTATATTCATATACATATATATATAGAATGCAATATTATTGAAGTGGAATATATATAAAATTCAATAATATATATATATATATATATATATATATCTCACATTAACTTTTTTATTCGTGTAATATTTAATATTTCCAAAAATACAATCAAAGTAGTCCTCATGGGAGAAGTCAGAACTCTGGGGCTTCCTCACACATGTGCTCCTCCGGGTCAGTTGTTTAGGTGGTGAACTCCCTGGCACCTCAGCTCTTCAGTCCTTAGGAAAATGGGACACAATGCTGGGTGTTCAGTAGAACTTTTAAAAATTATTGATGGCGGGCTGGGGATGTGGCTCAAGCGGTAGCGCGCTCGCCTGGCATGCKTGCGGCCCGGGTTCGATCCTCARCACCACATACCAACAAAGATGTKGTGTCCRCCGARAACTAARAAATAAATATTAAMATTCTCTCTCTCAAAAAAAAATTACTGACGGCCAGGCAAGGCCCAGGAGAGTCTGACCTTATGGGTGTGAGGGGAGCCTGGGCATCAGTGTGTTTCTAAACCTCAGCCCAAGAGATTCTTGGGTTTGCTCACCATTACCTCAGCTCCCCTAAGGCCACCACCTGCCAACTTCCCTCCCCAAAACAAGATCAGGACCCCAAAGGGTCTTTTTAAAGAGGCTTTTGTAAAATGCAAAGATCCAAGACCCACCTAAGCTGTGGTAAGAGAGCCGCCTGGGGGTCACGGCCCACCCTCTTCTTTGGTACAAGGTCTGATGGTGTTGGCGCGTTGGGTTGCCCCAGGGGGGCCAGCTGTGGCTTCTGTGGCTGCTCTTCCCCGTCCCCACATCCCTCTGTGACCCACCCCTGTGCTCGGGTTCCAGATCAGAGGCTTTCCAGAAGGGCGGCAGGAAAGGGGCCAAGAAGGTGATGATCGTCATCACAGATGGGGAGTCCCACGACAGCCCGGACCTGGAGAAGGTCATCCAGCAAAGTGAGAGGGACAACGTGACCAGATATGCCGTGGCCGTAAGTCCCGTCCCTGCCCAGGGCTGCTGGCTGCCTCTCAGAGGGACTCCCAGGGGCTATTTTCTGAGAAGCAGCCTGTCATGTCCAGGCTTTCAAAAGARCAAGCCCGGAAGCTTCTTTAGCACTGCTCAGGCCTGTCCACAAAAGCCATGGGCTTGGTTTTTCCTTCCTTTGCCAGGAAGCTTCAGAAACCTCAAAAACTAGGAAATAGCTCAAGCCTTTCAGCTCCCAGAATCCTAGCTGAGCACAGGGTCCTTATCTTGCCTCTAAAAGAGGATCAGTCCCCAAACGCWAATGGTCCCTGGAGGAAAACTCAGGGCTACCAAAAGTCCTGGCTCAGCCCACCCTGGAGCCCTGGGGTCAGGGGCCCTGAGGCGTGTGGGAGAGTCTGTGCGAGGTCCTGGTTTGTCTTCCCTGCCCCTGTTCCCTGGCAGGTCCTGGGCTACTACAACCGCAGGGGGATCAACCCAGAAACTTTTCTAAATGAAATCAAATACATCGCCAGCGACCCGGATGACAAGCACTTCTTCAACGTCACTGAYGAGGCAGCCCTGAAGGACATTGTTGACGCCCTGGGGGACAGGATCTTCAGCCTRGAAGGTGAGCCCTGCCTACCCAGAGGGGCTACACACACCTGGGTTTAAATCAGACAAGCTCCCCAGAGGGAAATTCAACKGCACCAAACGGAATGGCGGAGCAAGTGTCCCTGCTTAATGAAATAAAAGGAGCCATCTAGTGTCGTTTGTTCTGGATGCAAATCGATGTGCTTTATGAACAACCTGAAAGGTGGCTTCTCTGGTATTCTCCATACTTGATGGCTGAAGAGACTGAAACTCAGAGCAGTTAAGTGACATGCCAAAGTTCCCACACTGGGGACAGTGGTGATATGTAGACKAGTGTTGCCCAGGTTCAGCAATATGAAATGCAAAACTTGTGACAGACTTACACGAAAATATTATACATTGTTTATCTGAAGTTCAAATGTATCTGGGCACCCTATATTTTCTCTGGCACCCCTAGTTGGGACCCTGCTGAGCCTGACTCCCCAGCCTGGAACATTCAGTCCCTCTGTGCCACTGTGTCTTGCTCCATCGAAAGCAGTCTTTGCAGGGTTTCTTCAGATCGCCCCCTCCCAGCGACTTAAACTGCATCTTTTATTTGCACAGATCCCGTGTGCACAGTAAATTGCTCTACTGGGTCCTTCCAACACTGGGCCTTGGGCATGGGGGAGGGTCATAAAAAGAAAGAGAAGACAGCGTTCCAGAGCCCGAGACATCTGCAGTGCATTGGAAATGAAGAGCTGCCCAAAGAGAACCAAATGGCCCCAGAACAAAGATGGTTGGATAAAAGCACAGACATGGGCTTTTTTTTTTAATATTTATTTTTTAGTTGTAGTTGGACACAACACTTTTATTTTACTTATTTTTATGTGGTGCTGAGGATCAAACCCAGGGCCTTGCACATGCTAGGCGAGCGCTCTACCACTGAAGCACAACCCCAGCCCCTAGACATGGGCTTTCACACCCACAGCGGAATTCAAATATCCAAATCAGTGTTTTTCTCCTCAAAGCGGTCACCTTGAGTGACAAGCACAGAGTTCCAATGATGTGTTCTGGAAACCCCGTTGTGGAGTGGGGTCCTGAGCACCCTGGGCTTTCTTGTGCACYTCTGCAGTGGTGACATGTCTCCTCCTGGCGGTGGAGATGAGGTGTAGGAACTCTCCCAGGGCATCCAGAAACAAATCCAGTGAATCATAGGAACAAACAAAGYGAGAAATTCCATTTCTTGCCAACCATGTCCACTGTTTCCACACACTATTTAGTGATCTCCCCCCTGCTTTCACAGTCACTTACAGTATGTGGATGCAATACTTGTCCCCAGTCCTTTGAAGAAGTAATGGCTACTCACCCACGGCCATCTGGAAGGTGCTCAGCGCACCTCAGGGCACAGAGTATGGATGAGGGCTGATGATGCAGACAGCACCGTAGGCCTCAGCCTCGAGCCTTTCTCAAAAGTGAACCCCCAGTTCCTACGGTGCCCCTGGGAGGTAGGAACTGTGAACCGAGGGCCACCTGGGGCTAAGCAAAGAGTCATGGCMCTGACAACCTTCTGTCCTCTGTTTTAGGCACCAACAAGAACGAGACCTCCTTTGGGCTGGAGATGTCACAGACAGGCTTCTCCTCGCACGTAGTRGAGGTATGGGTTACCACTGGCTCCCTCCATCTCTCCATATCCTTCCCAGCTCTCGRGGTGTGTCTTCCCACCTTTCATGAGCTGCTCAGCCTCTCTTTCCTGGGTTCTCTCTGCTTCCCAGAGTCTTCTRTGGGTGGAAGAGGGAATTCAAGGTCTTCAACCTACCTCTACTGTCTCAAGGCCTCTTCAGAAGCAAGTGGACTACTACTAATAGTCTACTCACCCACCCGGAAGGATCTGCGGAGGGTGCTGATGGAGACATCGGCGCCTCCTGCAACAAATGACCCCATTCAATCCACAGAGCCCTGTGCAAAATCTAGGCCAGGTGACATAGCCAACTGCATATGGGCCCCAYTCCATGCAGACTCTGCATGGGATTGCAGAGCTCCCAGGTGGACCTGGGCCCCAAAGAGGGGGGCACAAGATGCCACAAGCAGCATGTGGTGCCTGGGGCTGTCTCGGGCCCCCACTCACCCTCTGTGTGCTTCACCTGGTTCTGGTTCATAAGATGGGGCTGAAACCACCCTGAATTGCCAGAGAGACAGAGTGTCCATATCTCTGAGATGCTTCATAAACTGTAAAGTCCTGCTTAGGAGCAGCACATGGGAAAACAGACGCCCCATGTGTTGTTCCATGGGCATGCTTCGAACAGGCATGTCCCAGGTGGGGTTGTGCACTCGTGTGCTGTTGGGCAGGCACTGCCTCCCAGTTTGCCAGAAAAGCCTGCTAGTCCCTGTAGTTGTGCACTCATCACCCATCARATTTGCTTAACTCTTCTATGGGGTAGACGGGGCAAGTTCCTAGAGCCAAGTTTACAGATAAAGACATTGAGTCTTAGAGAGGTTAAGTGACCCTCTGAAGTTAAAAAAAAAAAAAAAAAAACAGTGAGAATTAGTCACACGGCACCATCTACACCCAGAAGCTGCTCCATGAGCAAACAGGGAATCTCAAGAGTCTGAGTCAGAAATCCCAGATTGGAGGGGAGGGGGCACATACAACGCACAGCAGGCAGATGAGCGGAAACACAACTTGAACCTGGATTGTCCTGAGTTGCATCATTCCCACTGTCCTGAATACAGCAAGGTGCATAATAACATATGCACCTCATAATAACAGCCCTGTTACAGGTGACAGCTCTGTAAACTTTTCCAGGGAAGTCCTGCACCTCRTTTCATGCTCAGAAGATCCCTACGGGGTCTGCAGGCATTAACAGTTCTCCTGTTTAAAGTGGTCAGATCCACCAATCTTCTCAGTGCCTTCTTGCCCTGGGCCCTATGCTGGATACGGCAGAGGCAGAGGTGGAGCCCTGCCCTTCAGCTTGCAATCCGAGGGTAAATTGCTGGGCACAGTGAGGCAAGGGCATCCATGGGCGCAAGGTCAGGCAGCGAGTCTCATGCTCTGGCAGCACGAGTCCTGGGCTCCTGAGTCTGGGGTCAAGGCTGATTAGAAAATACATCAAGGAAATGCAATTCAATTCAATGCAACCAGCATTTGTCAAAAACAATTAAAGAAGAAAAAAATTGGAAGTGATTCTTGCCACCAAAAGTTAACTTCAAACAGTCCAAAACAGCAGTCCTCAGTTTTGAGAAAAGGATGAAAGAAACTGCAGATATCTCCTTGGTAAAAGCATATAACTCCAGGTCTTCTGGGCCTCTGTAAAGACCCCTACTCAATGAGGCAGCCAGACGTGACAGCTAATGCCAACCAGGGCAATGGTCAGGCTCTTACAGAAAGAAAGGCCTGGGCTGGGGCTGGGGCTGGCATGGCCAGGGAAGGATTGGCAAGGGGTCAGCACTTGAAAGGGCCTCTGAAAGGACAAGGATCTTAGCAGCCATGGGTGGGGCAGGGGAGCAGAGGATTGTGTGCACAGGACTGGGAGGAACCTGGGCACAGGCCAGGGAATCAAAGACCCAGTGTCTCCTGTATYCCTCTATGGCCATTTCCTGAGCATCTTCCTGTGGGGTGGGGCAGAGGGCACTGAGGATATAGACTAGGGTACCACTTCATTTGGGGAGAAAGACTTAAGTTTCACCTAAGGTTCATTCTCAGGCAGGTCACTGTCCAGGTCTCAGGGGCCAGGGAGGCTCAGCTGGGCTTAGGGATTCAGGGAGTTACTCTGAGCCCTGGAAAATGGCCCCAGCAGCTCAGTGTGTCCAACGCTTGCAGGATCAGTGGGTTCCCCAACTATTTGGAGGAGGTGGGGCAGGCAGGGAGACTCAGGAGCTKAGAGCCCCAGCTTGTTACTCGGGTCGGCCAAGGTCATGACTGCCCTGGCTGCCCTGTGCAGCTTCTAGATACGCTGCCCAGTTTTCCTATTCCCCCAATCAGAGGGACTCGGTTGCCTCTCCCCACACATCCCAGTTCTTTTACCRTCCCTAATACCTGGGTCATGTTCCTATGTCCCAATCATCTGGAAGGTTTTCTCTGCTAAGACTTTTAAAGAGAATGATTATATTTGGATCTGAGACTTTTCTGATTGAAGGCGGAGTAAGAAAACCTCCAAATCCCAAGRGAATGACATGTTGGTGATGAGTCCACCGTAACTAGACATTAARTTGTTCTGTCAGAGCACAGAGGTCTGTGAATGCCAAGCCACTGATGCTGTCATGAATGGCTGTGACCATCCTATCCCCGGGAGCCCAGCGACTCAGCTCTCAGTCAGTTAGCTGCTTTGGGAACTTGGAACAACAGGTCCAGTCTTGACCCTGAGTGGGTCCATGTTCTAGACCAGCCCTAAACTCCCTCTCTCCAGAAGTGGGCCATAGGCTACTGCCTGAAAATGTACTGAGGTGCCTGAGCTTCTCTGAGCCTGTTTAGTTCAGTTAGAAGGAATGGAAGGGCCCAGCCCTGTGGGAGGGGCCCAGTATCCATCCTCAGTGGGCAGAAGAAAGGCACAGCTCTTCATTGCCTGGCTTGCTGCCTGTTGTCTTATCCAGCAAGGAAACCAGCCTGCAAAGCTAAAGCAACAACAGAGAGCAGGGCCAGAGCCCAGGGTAGAGAGGAGACCTCCAGATATCAGCCAGACACTCACGAGGTCCATGGTCCCAGACCATACGACATTACATCCCAGACTGATGGCAGAAAGCCGGAGCCACAGGAACCTGGGAGCCAGAAACTCTAGTCTTGAATTATAAAAAGGGAAAGAATATTCCAAAAATCACCCTCAGGAAAGCTAGCTATGGATGCCTGGTCAAACTTTAGAATAGATTTTTAAGCCASTGGTTCATTCACATTGGGAAATGACAGCACAGGCCACTAAGAGCTGGAGTGGTTCTTGCGTGCTGGCTGCCTCTGGGTGRTGACCTCCATGGCAAAAGCTGCACCATTTTTCCAGAAAGCTTGTAAAAGGGACCCCTGCCTCCATCCTGCAGCCTGTGCCCTTCCCATGGGCCTTCTGGGGCTGTGGGCTAGACAGCCAAGGTCACTGCTGTTACCAAAGGCTCTTAGTGGTTGAAGCCTTAAACAGTGTAATCTTAGATTTAGAGTTTGCATCTGAACTAGCTTTACAGTTTAATTCAGTCAAAAATGAGAGAAGCTGGGGCTGGGGCTGGGGCTCAGTGGTAGAGCGCTTGCCGAGCATATGTGAGGCCCTGGGTTCGATCCTCAGCACCGCATATAAGTAATGATCCATAATGGTAAACTGACATCTGGAGGTTGGAGACCCTCCATGGCCCTACAAAGTGGACTCCCCCTGCCAGTTTGGGTAGGCGATTAGGACTGTCCCCTGATCTTGGTGTCGGGGAGGAAGACCCAGTGCCCTCTGAGGGTCTCCCACCTGGCCTCCATACAGCTCTCCAGCAGCTACCTCCACCTGGCTCCACAGCCTCCCCAAAGCCAAGAAAAGCTGGAAGGAAGAGCCACTGGCATCCGCATCTGGACGCCATCACTGCCTGGCTGTGTGGGCTCAGACAGCACTTCACCTGTCTGAACTTCAGGCTTCGAGACRTCTGAGGAGTATCCCTGAAAATGAATCTTGAGGCTTCGAATGGATGTTGAGATTTACAGACAAATGGGTTGGGGTTTTCTTAAAATCCTTTCCTAACTCCTYTCTGGGCCCACCCCCTCCCTTAGTTGGTCACCCTCTCCTGGGATCCCTAAAATAGCCCGTCCTTGCCTCCCTGGGGCACTGCTCACCCACCCCACAGTGGCCAACTTGACTATGAGATCAGATCTTTTCTGGCATCTGCCTCCCCAGGAGATGCAGTGTGCACCATTAATGAACGACAAGAGCTTCCAGGTCCCAGTACTTATGGCTACCAAGCACTGTGCTGAGGGAGACAGAGGCAGACTTGCCCAAGGTCACACAGCTAGAAGCTTTGCAGCTGAAGAGGGGACGCAGGAAGGTCTGACCCCAGAGTTCATGCTCCAACCACTAGGCCAGGGAGTCTCAATATCGACCCAGGAGACCTTCTGTGTTGGATAATGAGCAGACACCCCCACCCCAAGCTGTGATAACCAGAAACATCTCCAGACATGACCAAACGTCACCTGGGGAGGCAATGTCACCTGCCCTAGACCATGTGCTGGGGTTGTAGTCCAACCCTGGCTGGGAACCTGGACTGGGTGGGAGACAGAGTGTGGGGAGACATGGTCACACACCCAGGGAGCACCCACCTTGACTGGAAGGCAAGACTGAGGCAGAGGCCAAGTAGAAGAGCTAAGAGCTGCCTGGCAGGATATGACAGGAATGCCACAGATGCTCCAGTAGGTCCGGCTGCAATGGCCTTGAGGCCTCAGGTCCTCCGACAGCCGTCCAACCTGCAACCTGCCCCACAGAGCACCAGCTATGGGAAGGGTCCATCCAGCTAAGGCCACCTAGAGACACCTGGTGTTGTCTCATGGGAGCTCAGGCCACCCCATAAATCTGGGAAGACTGGGAGGCCATAAATCAAAGAATCCGTGCCGGGCCTGCAGAGGATGGGAGGTTGCCCGTCCCTAGAATGCTCTGCCATTTGGTGAGGGCACGTGACTGGCTTCCCCCACCAAGGCTCTGGCCCTTTTAATCTTCTTCTTTTCTTCTTCTCCTTCTCCTTCTCCTTCTCCTTCTCCTTCTCCTTCTCCTCTTTTGCACTACCTGTCCAGTCTCAAAATGTCTGGGCTTCGCGCACTAGGAGAGCAACTGAGCTTTGCCTTCACACGCCTACTCCACACAGTGCCCCTGTCCTCAGTGGGGCTTTCCCTGACCCCAATAAACCCACTCTCAGAAAAGGGCTTCCCACTAAGACTTCAAGACCCAGCTACCGCCAGGGTTACAAGAACACAAGGCAAGAGGCTGAGAGTGACCCGCTGGCTAGGGCCACCAAATCCAGGAGCACTGGTGGAATTCCCAGACTCTACTCTGCATCACGTCAAAATGGCTCTGCCAGTACATCTCAGGGGCTCCTTGCCATCTGCAAAATCAAAAATTCATCTGCATGTCAGGCGCAGTGGCGCACATCTATAATCCCAGATGCTTGGGAAGCYGAGGCAGGAGGATCGTGAGTTCAAAGCCAACCTCAGCAATTTCAGCGAGGCCCTAAGCAACTCAGTGAGACCCTGTCTCTAAATAAAATGCAAAATAAGGCTGGGATGTGGCTCAGTGGTCAAGTGCCCCCGGATTCAATCCCCAATATAAAAAAAAAAAAAAATCATCTTTAAAGTCCTCTCCATACAACCAAGAAGCCTGGTCTGCAGTTAAGATCTTGAGCAGTAGGCAGAGAGAGGGGGGAAGAAGGATGGAAGGCAGAGCCCCAACAGTGCTCCAGATTGGTGGGGGGGGGGTCCGGAGGACAACTGGAAGCAGGACTCCCCCAGGGCTTGGGGGAACACATGGCTGTTTTTCTCCTCAGCCCAATCCACCTGTCTGGCCCTAGCCCTGCCTTTCTGACTTGCCATATGACCTTGGGCAAGTTCCTTCCCCCCTTTGAACCTCAGCCACTGGTTTGTCAAGTGCAGATAATGAACAGTCTGTCCCCTCCCAGAGTCTCTGCGGTCTCAAATTGGTGGTTGGCTGAGAAAGCCCTCCACAAAGAAGGGAGCACACCCCAATGTTAAGAATGTTGGCAGTGACTGTGGACAGCGAGTATYTGAGTCCCCAGCCCCATCCTGGTCCCAGCAGACTGTCACAGCCTCCCAGGCCAAGACTTGAGCACAGTGGGAAGAAGAAGGCTAATTAGAAAGTCGAACACCACCAAGCGCCCAACTCACCCGAGACCAGCTTATTTATAGTTGTAAAAACATTCTGTCTGCACAGTCGGTTCCACCTCTAGGAGCTGGCATTTTTTAACCCTTTGATAAGACCAATTTTTCTCTTTAAAGCTAAGGGGGAGCCTTGAGCCCAGCCAACCTGCAGGCTTCCAAGAGGGCTCAGTGGGACAGAAGGGTACATTAGTGCTGTGCTTTAAATGCCCAAAGCTGGGATACAGGCAAGCTGCTCCCACCCCCAAGTCACCAAGGAAACCCAGGAAAGTGGCCCTCCAACTGCTTTGCCACCCTCCTGGGGCTGCTCAAATGCCTGATAACTTTCACCCTCTTTTCAAGTCCACGAGTCTTGTGGATTGTTTATGCTGGGGAGCAGGTAGGGTGCAGGGGCAGCCCAGAGARTGAGTGGACTCAGTACTCAAGAAATAACCCTGGAGTCAGAAACGTGGAAACTTCCCTTCCAGGAGCCAAATCTTCCTGTCCTCCTGACCAGGCCTTGCAGATTTCAATTGTCCTGCACTGGGTGGGCAGAYCAAGACCCTCCAAGCCCTGAGAAATAAGTTTCAGTCTTCAAATCATGGTGTGGCCCTGGCTTATCTGTCCAGCCTCATCCTCTGCCCCCTCACTCAACGCTTCTGCCCCTCACTCAAACAGCTTTCAGTTCCTTGAAAGCAAAGGTTCTGACCTCTCTYCAGCCTCAGGGCCTTTGTACAAGCTTCTCCTGGCCCTTTCCTTCTGGCTCTTGTACCCTCTTTTCGGACCCTTCTCCTCTTTCAGGTGTTTGGGTAAACATTCCTTCCTCTAAAAGGCTTCCCAACCCCCATCAATCTAAATTAAACTTCACTGTGATTTCCCTGATTGTACTGGTCAGTTTGCACGTGTTTAAGTATTTCTTTAGTATCTCTGCCCTCTGCAAGGTCAGGGATGGTGTTCCCAGCACCAAAAAAAAGTGGTTATCATAAAGTAGATGCTCAGTRAACTTTAACTGAAGAAATGAAGAGAGAGTAGGATTTTTWAAAAATAATTTTTCATTTTTAATTAGTCATAGAGTAACTGTTCATATTCATGGGTGCAATGTCATGCATATATCAGGTCATGCATACAGTGTGGTGACTGGGCAAGAGAGTTCACAGGAAAGCAATCGCACACTGCAAAGGAACACTGAAGGAAGTCAGGTGAGGGGAGACACGGCTCCAAGGAGGTCACCAGGAAGAGATTTCCTAGAGGGGTTTTTGAAGCCCAAGGAAGGATGGAAGTTTGTCCAGAAATTGGAATTTATTTCTAGAACACTCTCTTTTCTTGACATTCCTTGGGATCAGTTTGACCCACTTTGTTCTAAGGATGGGCTAGGGCAAGACAGTCTCCATGGCTTTTTCAAAAGCTGAGAGTCCAKCTCAATGTTAGATTGCTACATTGAACCCTCAACAAGGTGCCCTAGGAGGCTGCGCTGGTCACAGGACCTGGGGGCTTTCAGCAAGAGGTCCCCAGGGAACAGGATCTAATGTGGGTACCCTCCCCGTTGCCAGGACGGGATTCTGCTGGGAGCCGTTGGCGCCTATGACTGGAACGGGGCCGTGCTGAAGGAGACGAGCAGCGGCAAGGTCATTCCGCTCCGCGAGTCCTACCTGAAGGAGTTCCCCGACGAGCTCAAGAACCATGGCGCGTACCTGGGTAAGCGCCCTGCAGGGGACGCTGGAGGGCACGCGGCTGCACCGTCCCCCGCACGCCCAGGCCAGGGGCCTCCCCGTGCTGGGTCACGCAGCCACACTGAGCTGCAATTCCAGGCCCGAACACCCRGCCCAGGGACCGGCTCTTCTCCATCCGCCACGCCCAGCACCGTGCTGCACCTAAACGGCTGTCCAAGGGGAGGTAGAACAAATGACAAGCAGCTTCCGCACCTTGAGTGTGTTTCAGCTGGTGCTTTTGGACTCTAGGTCAGAGGGCGGTGGCATTAAAGCTTCCTGGTGCAGCACGCTGGGTCGGCCTACCCAGACCAGATGCAAGACCAGCTGAATCTAGCACCTSTCCCATTGTTTGATGTGCCCGAGAGCCGCAGGGGGCGCTGTCCCTCCTGGGGCACTGCTAAACAGGGTCCTAGCAAGGCCTGCCAAAGACAAGGCGCACAGACCAGCCTGTTTCCTCCTGTGGCAGGGTACACAGTGACGTCGGTCGTGTCCTCCAGGCAGGGGCGAGTGTATGTGGCCGGAGCTCCGCGGTTCAACCACACGGGCAAAGTCATCCTGTTCACCATGCACAACAACAGGAGCCTCACCATCCACCAGGCCCTCCGGGGCGAGCAGGTAATAGAGGGGGAGGCTGCAGCAGGGGCTGTCTGCCGGAAGACTGGGCAAGCATATCAGATTGGGGGTGGTGGGGCTTCTGGGGCTCACCTCATCCCTAGCAACAAGAAGGCCCCCAGACCCACAGGCATCTTCTTGGAATGGGTACATACCTCATCCATCAGGGTTAAAGTGTCAACCTAAGCTGTCACTTACTGCCCTAAAATGTCCTTGGAGCAGACCAACCTCTCACCAAGCCAGGCCTAGGCCCTGCTACTAGCTTGGAAAATCCAAGAGAATTCTCCCTGCCGTGTCACTGACCTCTTGTCTGGTGCATCTGGGTGATGGCTTCCCAGCCGGAGTTGTCAAGGCCCCCAGCAAGGGACAGTCAACACTCCTCAAGCCATCTTCATGTTGCCAAAAGTTGTAAGTCCACCCCCAGCAAAGCCCTAGGGGCCCCCAAGATGCAAGCTTCTCCCTTTTTCCTGGAATAGTGACAATGCAGAGTGGAAGGTCAATGCCACTGCCCYAGACTGTGTTGCAAAGTCTCATGTTGGAGGCTCCTGAGGGCAAACAGGAAGGCTATGGTAAGAGTGGCTGGGGGTACATAGAACCAGAGTCACTTCAACACCCCAGGAAATCTGTCCTAGGAGGCAACACGGCTTTGTCAAGATCACATGGCAGATTCCCAGAAGGGTCAAGTTAAGAATCCAGGCTTCTGGAGGGGACCTCTGGCACCTCCTGACCCCCAAAAGCAGGCCTCACTGCTCCCATCTGGCAGTGTCCAGGCACCCTGGCTCAAGCTGAGCCCTGTCCAGGCCCTTATCTATTGTTCTGGGCAATCCCTCAGCACTCTTGAGCCTGGGAACAGCCCTGTCCTGCCTCTTCTGATGCCCCATCCCATCACCATGAGAACACGCTCCTCACTGGGTGGAACCCAAATCCCTCTAGCTGTAGAGTGCTGCCCACCATTCTGCCACTCCTTCAGGTCACCATCTCTGCTCCCCCTGCCCACCTCGTTCGGCCCAGGGCAGGCTCTTTTGGAAGTCAAGGGCTAGACCTTGAGAGCTGGAGGGAGTTCTCTGATGAATTATGACATACTCCTACCCAGTTCCTCCTCCAACATCCGAATAAGAAACCGCAGTGCCAAAAGCAGCTGAATTAAGTGGATTCCAAATCACTGTGACCCACATAGCTAAGGCCACAGATTTAGACACACTCCTCCTCCCTCCTCCCTTGCTCTGTCTGCCTCTTAATTGCTTTAAGTAGACACATCTCTCCTGCTCCCCAACCCAGGCTTATTATTTCCTTTTTCTCTTGCCTGTATTTTTATCTTTCTCCTCAGTTAAAAGYTTTTAATGCTTGAGAATAGATTTCTTCTGAAAACACCCTGCACCAGGATATGGCAGGGGAAGGAGCCAGGGGCTCATGTGTCACACAGCCCCAGCTTAGCAGGGACCAGCCTTCTGACCTTGGGCAAGCAACTGGAACACTCTGAGTTTAGATTCCTTCCCTGTAAGATGAGACAACTGAGCTGGGGATGTGGTTGGGTGGTAAAGCACTTGCCTAACATTTGTGAGGCCCTGAGTTTGATCCCCAGCACTGCCCAAAACTATAAATAAATAAAATGAGCTGGGCTCGGTGACACATGCCTGTAATCCCAGTGGCTCTGGAGGCTGAGGCAGGAGAATCACGAGTTCAAAGCCAGCCTCAGCAACAGCGAGGCGCTAAGCAACTCAGTGAGACCCGGTCTCTAAATAAAATACAAAATARGGCTGGGGATGTGGCTCAGTGGTTGAATTCCCTGAGTTCAATCCCTAGTACCTCCCCCCAAAAAAATAAAATAAAATGAAATAAGATGACTATGTCTCCCAAGCAGCTCACACAAGCTAACCCAAGGCTATAAATCGATCACACAGGACCTGCCTGTGGGCAGGGTGCCTTCCCTTCCCTAAGGAAACCCAATAAGCAGTTATTAGGTCCCTCTTGTGTTCCAGGCATGGACTAGGCCCAGAGGGGCACATCCTTAGAGGGRGCAGGCTGGTAGGAGGAGTGTGGAGTCTGGGGCACATGGAAAAGAGGCTCCCACGGCAAGGAGGGAGGGCCAGGGACAGCTTCTAAAAGGAATAGCTTTTAGATCCGAGGGCTGGCAGGTGTTATCTGGGGAAGTCAGGGGACAGAGAGGTTTAGGTAAGGGAAGAGGGAAGCCCGGAACTAGCCAGAGCCTAGGTCATTAAGAGAAGCAATAACTGGGTATAGAAGGAGCCCAAGGCTCAGCATAGGGAGCAGAGGGTCGCAGGACAGAGGCTGGGCAGGAGGCAATCCAGCCGGACACATGGATGAGGTTAGGCTCTACCCCAAATGCAAGCATGTAGCTTGGTTAACTGTTAAAGGCCATTCTGGTGGCATGGGGGTGGAACCGAGGGCCAGCACGAAGACTGGAAGGTCCATTGGAAGGAACCCCACCCAGGGGAAGAGCAGTGGGAAGCAGGTGGAACTTCCTGGTAGAGCTGCAGATGGGAGAGGTGGAGGGTGGAGGCAGGGACCCCCAGGCTTCTGATGAGGGAGTAGGTGGCACCTCCCCCGACCCAGTTGGAGAGCACTGCAGCCAGGGCAGGAGAGGAGCACGGTGGGGACTCGGATGCCTAGGAGAATTCAGCACTCCCCATCCAAGATGCAAGCTCCAGAGTGACCCAGGACATTGAAACTTGAAACAAGCCAACTGTCGCAGCGACAGGGCCTTCATTAAATACATCAGGGTGCTACAGAATCACCAGTGATCATGTCACAGAAAAAAATATGTTGCTTTCCCCTCCGTCTCTAGCTATAGCTGGCAGCCAGGTACATGCTCAGCATTTTCAGTACCCCAGGGCGGCTGTCCATGTCACTTCAGCTCCTCTAGGTTCATCTGCACCTTCACCCGCCACGCACTCACCTGTCATAACACCCCATCGTGGGGAAGCTCACAAAGGCCTGTAAAAATCAAGGCAACCCCAAGAAAGTGGCTCCTCCCCCATAAGGAGGTAGAAGAAGGTAGTGAGATGAGGAAAAGTCAGAAGATGAAGACGGTGACAGCAGTGGAGAAGAGGGTGTCACCCCTCAGAAAAAAAGGCAAGGAGGCCACCGCAACCCCAGCAAAGGAAGGATTGTGATTGCCACACCTGCCAAGATAGCAGCTGTCACCCCAGGCAAGAAGGCAGCAGCCTCAGCAGCCAAGGAGACAGTGACACCAGCCAGCAGCTGCACACCTGGCAAGAGGGAGCCACTCCRGGCAAAGCACCAGTACAGCAGACCCTGGTAAGAAGGGAGCTGTTGCCAGGCAGGATGGCACACGCCTGTAATCCCAGCAGCTCGGGAGGCTGAGGCAGGAGGATGGAGAGTTCACAGCCAGCCTCAGCAAAAGTGAGGCTCTAAGCAACTCAGTGAGACCCTGTCTCTAAATAAAACACAAAATAGGGCTGGGGATGTGGCTCAGGAGTTGAGAGTTCAAGCCCTGAGTTCCATCCCTGGTACCCAAAAAAAGTGGAGCTATTACCCCAGCCAAGGGGCAAGAAATGGGAAGAAGGCCAAGAAGGAAGACGATGAGGAGGAGGAGGAGGAAGAGGAGGAATTTGAACCAGCAGTAATGAAAGAAGCAGCTGCTACTCCTGCCTCAGAGGATGAGGACGACGAGGAGGAGGAGGATGAAGATGAGGAGGAGGAGGATGAAGATGAGGAGGAAGAAGATGACTCTGAAGAAGCCATGGAGGTCACACCAGCCAAAGGAAAGAAAGCTGCTGCAAAAGCCCTACCAAGAGCATGGCTGAGGAGGAGGAAGAGCAGGAGGAAGACAATGGGGATGAAGAGGAGGAGGGGGAGGAGGAGGAGGAGCCTGTCAAAGAAGCACCTAGAAAATGAAAGAAGGAAACGGCCAAACAGAAGGCTGCTCCTGAAGCCAAGAGACAGAAAGTGGGAGGCTCAGAACCAGCTACGTCTTTTAATCTCTTGGGTGGAAATCTGAATTCTAACAAACCTGCTCCTGAACTAAAAACTGGTATCAGTGAACTTTCTGTGAAAAAAAATGATCTGGCTGCTGTGTTCAGAATTGGAACGACTAGGAAGTTTGGCTATGTGGATTTTGAATCTGCTAAAGATCTGAAAAAAGCCTTGGAACTCACTAGTTTAAAACTTTTTGACAACGAAATTCAACTAGAGAAACCAAAAGGAAAGGACAGTAAGAAAAAAGGAGGTGCAAGAACACTGTGGGCCCCAAATCTCCCTTGCAAAGTCACTCAGGATGAATTAAAAGAAGTGTGTGAAGATGCCGTGGAGATCAGATTAGTCAGCAAGGATGGGAAGAGTAAAGGGGTTGCTCATATTGAATTTCAGACAGAAGCTGGTGCAGAGAGAACCTTTGAAGAAAAGCAGGGAACAGAGATGGATGGGCGAGGTGCTTCCCTCTAATACACTGGAGAGAAAGGTCAGAATCAAGACTAGAGAGGTAGAAAGAATAGCACCTGGAGTGGTGAGTCAAAACCTCTGGTTTTAAGCAACCTCTCTTACAACGCAAATGAAGAAACTCTTGAGGAAGTATTCAAGAAGACAACTTTGATCAAAGAATCACAGAACCAAAATGGACACCCAAAGGGTATGCATTGTTAGAGGTTGCTTCATTTGAAAATGCAAAAGAAGCTTTAAATTCCTGCAATTAAAGGGAAATTGGGGGCAGAGCAATCATTCTGGAGTAGCAAGGACCCAGGGGACCGCCTAACGCAAGTAGCCAGCCACCAAAAACTCTGCTTGTCAAAAGTCTGTCTGAGGATACCACTGAAGAAACCTTAAAAGCATCATCTGACGGCTCTGTTCGTGCAAGGATAGTCACTGACCGGGAAACCGGATCCTCCAAAGGTTTGGTTTTTGTGGACTTCAACAGTAAGGAGGATGCCAAAGCTGCCAAAGAGGCCAGGAAGGTGGTGAAATCGGTGGAAACAAAGTTACCTGGGACTGGGCCACGCCTAAAGGGRAAGGGGGCTTTGGGGGTCACGGTGGAGGCTGAGGTGGTGGCAGAGGAAGCCAAGGTGGATCCGGCAGCAGAGGCCAGGGAGGGTTTAGAGGGGGAGGATTTCCCAAGGAGGCAGAGGGGGAGAAAGGAGGAGCCCACCAGCGTAAGGAAGGAAGACAGAATTTGAATCGTTTCTTCTGTCCCTGTCTTTCCTTCTTCCATTTGAAAGAAAGGACTCGGGGGTTTTTAACTCTGTTACCTGTTCAATGACAGAGCCCTCTGAGGACTTTCCAAGACAGTRTACAGTCCTGTGGTCTACTTGGAAATCTGTACAGATGACCTTTCAAAGGAGACACCYTGTTGGTTTTGACTGGATATTCACATAAACTGTTTAAAGAGATGAGGGATAGAGCTAACCCTTATCTGTAAGTTTTGAATTTATATTGTTTCATCCCATGTACAAAACTGGAAAAAGGAAAAAAAAATATGTCACAGGCTTGGGGTATCGCTCAGTGGCAGAGCACTTGCCTGGCATGTGTGAAGTCCCAGGTTCTACTTCCAGCATAGAAAAAAAAATTATTTTTAAACAAATGTGCCATGAGGAAAAGGCTTGTGATCCATTGTTATGTTTAAAATTTAGTATGTAGCCGGGGACAGGGGTACACACCTGTAATCCCAGCAACTTGGGAGACTGAGGCAGGAGGATGGCAAGTTCAAAGCCAGCCTCAGCAACTTCTCAAGGTTGCAAACAACTTGGTAAGAACCTGTCTCAAAATAAAAAATAAAAAAGGGCTAGGGATGTTGTTCACATCCCAAGATGGTAAGCACACCTGGGTTCGATTCCCAGTACCAAAAAAAGAAGAAAAGTATATAAACTATATATGGAGTATGGTCCTCATTTATAAAAATAAAAACATTTGCACATACATAAGAATTTAGCAACACATCTCAGGTGAAAAAGCTAGAATAAAGTACACTAAGAATATTCRTCGTAGTTATATTTGCACATTGGGATCATGGGTAACTTCTGTTTGCTTCTATGTGCCGCAGATAGGCTCTTACTTCGGGAGTGAGATCACCTCAGTGGACATCRATGACGACGGAGTGACCGATGTGCTACTGGTGGGGGCACCCATGTACTTCAGCGAGGGCCGMGAGCGCGGCAAAGTGTACGTCTACATCCTGAGACAGGTACTGCGGGTGGGGCGGCAGCTTCTCAAGGGCCCCTGCTTGGACTTGGGTCACCACCAGGGAACGGGGTTCCAGGGAGGCCAGCTCCCGCCTGCAGGACCCAGGCTGGGGGAAACAGGAACCTCCTCTGTCGTGGGGCTCCTGTCACCAGAGAGAGGATTCTGGGAGGACGGAGTGGAGAGAGGCCGCTGTGGCAGCAGGCAGAGGGAATCACGACCCCAGGGTCCCTTACCAAGACCCCTGAGCCCGTTCCTGGCCTTGGCTTTGTAGAACCGGTTTGTTTATAATGGAACGCTGAAGGATTCCCACAGTTACCAGAACGCCCGGTTTGGGTCGTCCATTGCCTCTGTTCGCGACCTCAATCAAGATTCCTACAATGACGTGGTGGTGGGAGCCCCTCTAGAAGACAACCATGGAGGCGCCATCTACATCTTCCATGGCTTCCAAGGCGGCATCCTGAAGAAGCCCAAGCAGGTGAGCGTCCCCTGGGAGTGGGTGGAGCAGGAGGACCCAGGAGTGTGGCTGCTTCTGTGTGGTCACGTGGTTCTGCGTTCTCCTCTGGCTCTCCTGCAGGAGGGGACCCTGTCTGTCCCGACTCCCTTGCCTCTAGTTTTGACACRAGTGCACTGTGTCTTCAGTGCCATCCCCACACCACTTCTGGCACCCTCTCCTGGCCTGCCTTCATCCTCCCAAGGTCAACCACGACACACCCAGGCACCCACCTCACCCCCACAGGCATCTGGGCTGTTGACGGCAGGTGGAAGACTCCCCGCTGGCTCCACAGCTGGGTGCCCTTCACACACCTCAGAACTCACCTGTCTCGGCCCCTCGTCCTCATGTGGCCCTCATATTTTGTTAATAAGATCATCTAATAAATACACCAAGATCTGAAATGCTGAGGGGTGACTGCCAATCAGCATCTATTTACACTGAATGGGGAACGCTTTCAAGACATAGTATTTTAATCCAAAAGCGTGGCTTTCATGGTGGGAATGTCATGCCGTGACAGACTGAGAAGGAGACAGCTTTGGTCTGGGGAAGCCTCCCGATAGTGTCCAACATCTGTCCCCAGGACCCCCCCCCCCCGTGGTGCCTGCGGGCCCTACCTGAGCTCACGGTGCTCACGCCCTGCCCACGCTTTCCTCTCCCTGCAGAGAGTGGCGGCGTTGGAGCTGGCTCCCGGGCTCCGGTACTTTGGCTGCAGCATCCACGGGCAGTTGGACCTCAACGACGACGGGCTGGTGGACCTGGCCGTGGGCGCGCTGGGCAATGCTGTGATTCTGTGGTTGGTTCCCCCACTTTTCCTGCCTCTTGGGCTCTCCTGGGGGTCATGATAGAGAGAGGGTTTCAAGGACAGGCTGCAGGGTCTTTGTCCCTTTAACCACTGTCAGTTGAACAAACCTGGATGACACCTTTCCCTTTTGTGGAATCAGTACATGTTATCTTCAAGTTCAAATCCCTCTTCTTAATAGATTAGTGGGACTTTAGATCAAAGTAGTGTGTGAAACCCCTCTTAGAATTCRTCCTGAGCTGCTGCGTGTRATCCCAGCAGCTCTGGAGGCTGAGGCGAGTTCAAAGCCAGCCTCAGCAATTTAGCAAGGTGCTAAGCAATTCAGGGAGACCCTGCCTCTAAATAAAATACAACATAGGGCTGGGGATGTGGCTCCGTGGTGGAGGGCCCCTGAGTTCAATCCCCAGTCCAAAAAAGAAAACCCCAGAATTTGTCCTGAAAGCTCTGCTTCCCAGAATTCCTTCCACTTCAGCTTTTCAAGCTACTTGGAGGAGCACATGGAGCACATTCGGCTCRGCTGGGAGGATCTCTCCTCCTCCTCTAGAGTGGGAGAGGTGATTCAGGGCTTCCTTCCCCAAAACCCCTGTGGCTTCTGTTTTCCTTTGTTCAGGGCTCCATTTCAATGCTCTCTAGAAGCTCCTATATTTTACCATAGGTTGGCTTCTCTTAGATGCTCCCCCCCCCAAAAAAAAAATTAACTTAGGCTTTTTTCATGTACCTTGATGAGTTACAGTTTATCATTTATTCATAATAACTTAAAGAGAAATTGTAAAATAAAGGAAAAGATGGCTCTGTGTTCCCTCCAGCTTCACACTACCACCTTGAGTGTTTTGGCATCTTTCCTCCCCATCTTTTTCTGCCTGCATACAATTTTATATAAATTCAAAATTTTCACACAATTTTTAGAATGCATTAAACAGATATCCTATGACTTTACAGGGAGAATAAAGATGGGGAGGATGTGTCCCATCCTCAAGAAGATTGCCACCCAGAGGGGAAATGTCTCCACCCAGGTTTTGTAGAAAATAGCTCAAGACATAAGCTCCTGAGCAGACGCTTTGGGAGCAGGTTCCATCTCGGAAAAAAATGGCAGGAAAGGAGAGCAGATCKGAGCACGCGCTACTGAGTGGTCGGCTTTGCCACAAGTGCAGCTCCTGCTCAGCACCTGTTTCTTGACACAGCACGTTGTAGGGGACACAGGAGCAGCACACCTGCTGGGCCCCCATATCTGTCATCCATAACCAAAGTATCCACACCCTTTCAGTGGTGTCCTGTGGCCCTCTGGGCAGTGCTAGGAAAGCCACAGTCTCCAAGAGCCCAGCCCAGTCAGAGCTCTTCCCCACACGTGGGGCTTGTAGGTTGGGGCAGTGGTGGCAGCAGCAACAGCAGCCYGGGCTTGAAAGGCTGATGAAGGTATTCACCAGCCAGGAAGCGAGGCAGGCGTCCAGGAGCAGGGAAGGGGATAGAATGGCCAGCAGGTCCTTAAGGTGGCACATCAACTGTATGGGAAACAAGATACACACCTGCACCCACCCCAGGGACTCAAGTCTCACCCAAGGGGTTTGATCCAGCTCCGACTTTCGGGGTCTGGACTGCATGCTGCCTGTAGTGATGGAATTGCAGGCCAGAGCCCTCTGGGAAGACTTTATGGTCAAACCCCACGGCTCCCAAGTGTGACTGTCCACTAGGGTCACCCAGGAAGCTTTTAAAACTCATTGTCCTAGCTGAACTCTGACCAATTGAAGCAGAATTTCACCAGAGGGACCCAGAGGACAGTGATTTTTTTTAACTCCCCAGAAGATTCCAGAAGGCTGTCAAGTGGGTGTCCTCGCTCACCCCCAGGACTTTTGCAGGCCTTATCAGCGGTATCATGGGACCTGTCCCAGGTCCAGCAAGAAACCAGCCTTACCTCTGAAACCGCTGAGCCAAGCTACACCTATGTCCTTTATAAAGTCGTGGTTTGCAGAGGCAGTAGGTTTCTGTTCCTGATTATGTTTGATGTAGATCAGTCCAAGAGTACTTTTGTATCCTTGGCTACCTGACTAGGCCAGTATTGGACAGATGGTTGGGGAAGCTCTAGAACACTGTTCTTTTCATTAGCCACTCCCAGAATCACCCAAAGAYCTTTACACCTCTGGCTCTTCAAAGTGAGTTCCCTGAGCCACCCACAGCAGCTCCTGCTTGTTGGAAGCACAGAGTCGATGCCAAACTATTGAATTAGAATCTGCATTCTAGCAAGATGCTCTGTGCCGGGTTTCTGTTCTTGACTAAAAGGCTYAGGGGTCACTCCAGTTGAACTGGGCTGATTGGGCTGCATGAAATAATCACACAAGAGACAGAAATACCTTTTTCTTTGGGGTCACTGTAATGGCTCCTCTGACCTTAAGGGTCCRCAGGAAGAGAGAGAGAGCAAGAGCATGCGCTGACCCCTTTTATTGAGGAGAAGCCATTCAAATGAGGCAAGGGATCAGGTTTCAGGGGGCTGAGTCTATCTTCATGATGTCCACTGTTGGCAGGTTGACGGACATCTAGGTAGGCTACACCCAAGAGCACAGTAAGAGAAGGGGACACACACAAGGCACTTCCATGGAACATTCTATTCCAATCAGGGCAAGGAGTAATATTACAAAGGAACAGGTGAGCATAGCTCCACCCATGCTGTAGCAAGACACACCCATGCACAAGACACCATCCCTCGAATCCAAGAAGGGTGGGGAAAGCTCTGCCACATTCTGTGACTGAGCACTTCAGCTCCCAGCAGGGGAGTGTGACTCAGTCACATGCAAGGTTGGTCTCCCACAGCTCTGGGGATGTGCAAACAGGTTAAAATTGAGAAGCATCACTTTAAAACATGTTAATGCCTGATTCTAATTCAATTTGGCCCAGGTTTTTTAAAGTGTTCCAGATGATTCTAATGTACATATGGGGTTGGGAACCCCATATAATGAGGGGGCAAAGGGAAGTCAGTGTGTACTGGGAGAAGGGCACAGGGCCTCTGAAGGCCCCGTGAGGCTGCGGAGCCCTCGTCCATCTGCACGCTTCTGCCCAGTCCTGTGGCATCCGAAGCCCCGCTCTGCCCCACCCCACAGCGCCCTCCAATGGTGGTTTGCAGGTTCTGCTCCCATCTGAATCTCCACTTTTCCCATTTGTCACAGCTGAGAGCCTGCCCCACCCTGGCTCACTGGCCCTTCTCCTCCAGGTCCCGGCCCGTGGTTCARATCAATGCCAGCCTCCACTTTGAGCCATCCAAGATCAACATCTTCCACAAGGACTGCCAGCGCAACGGCAGGGATGCCACCTGCCTGGCCGCCTTCCTCTGCTTCACGCCCGTCTTCCTGGCGCCCTATTTCCAAACAGCAACTGTCGGTAATCCAGCCCCTCTGGCCCCACCCCACCCCAGTCTCCCTGTGAACTTTGCGATTGCTCTGTCAACAGTCTGGGCTTTTCCTGAAATATTTTCTAAGCGCTAGGTCACACCTAGAGCCACCTCTGCTGGAGGCCCCTCTAGTGCTGTCTGTCATTCCTAGGGACAAAGGGACTTGTGGCAGGGCTAGGGTGACAGTGGGCAAAACGGACCAGTGAAGAAGACAGGGGAAGAAGGAAATAGTCTGGCTCCAGTTTGAACATGGCACTGGAGGTAGGGGAGCAGACAGGGTGGACACCCAGAAGTCAGCCTGGGTGCAGAGGGAAAGGCAGAGCCAGGAGCCAGCTGGTGGGAAGCTGGACCCTGGGGCCAGGCACGTGACCACAGTAGTCATGGGTGCCATTGGGCAGTGGGTGTGGGTGTGGGCAGGACAGTTCCTTCCACAGAAGGTCCAAGTCAGGCCCCTACCCACAGCAGCCCAGGAGTGGTGGCTGCAGGTTCTAGGACCGGGCAGGGCCTGCACCTGAAATGGGACAACGGGTACCACGTCAGTCGAGGAGCAGGACCAGACAGGGAGGAGCAGGGTGTCCAAGACCTGAGAACAAAGGCAGGTCTGGGCGGCTATGCCTCCTCCAAGTTCCATCTATGACAGGAGAAAATACAAGGGCCCAGGACRCCCAAAGCCTGGCTGGGGGAAGGGAGAAGGGACTGAGACCTTCCTGGAACTGGCAAAAGTTTTTCCGAGGTGAAGGGGAGGAGGCTGCCAGCCTTAATCCCCAGAAGGGAGGCTTGAGGACGAGTGGGGAGGCCAGGCTCCCTCCTAGTGGGTCCAGGGCCAGCGGCAGAGGCTCTGACCTGCACGTCTAGGGGCCCAGAGCAGTGGGAGATGGAAGGTGAAGGGTGTGGAGAGCGTGTGACTCCAGCAGGGGCTAAAGGAGACACGGGGCCTCGGGGCCTCGTCCTGCCTCCTCTCCTCCTCCCTCCTTTCTCCTCCCCTTTCCTTCTGGCTTGGCCTCCTTCATTCCTCCTCCTCTCCTCCCTCTTCTCCTCCATTCCTTCCATTTCCTCATCTCCTGYGTCACTGGCTCCCTACATGAAGCTTCCTGCTCCGGGGACCTGTCAGGCAAGAGGAAGGGCTCTTCCCTGACCAGCCTGGGGGGCTTCCTGGAGGATGCACACTTCCCAGAGGCCATTCTTAGAGAGAGGCAAACAGCCTTCCATGGGAATGTGGCTCCACCTTCAGGTCTCCMTGTCCCCTCCTCCAGGCATCAGGTACAACGCCACCATGGATGAGAGGCGGTATATGCCGCGGGCCCACCTGGATGAGGGCGGGGACCCCTTCACCAACAGGGCTGTTCTGCTCTCCTCGGGCCAGGAGCACTGTCAGCGCATCAACTTCCACGTCCTGGTGAGCGCCGTCGCCCCTTCTGCAGAGGACACAGAACTGGAGAGGGAGCCAGCCGTGGAGGGGCGAGAGCCTGGCGGGTGTCAGGCCCCTTCTGAGCCTGCAGTGGTCCACAGGAGGCCAGCTAGGGGTCGTGCTCTGGACCTTGGCCACCCACGCCCCAACTCATGCCCCAGAGAGGAGCCCGGGGGGTGTATGTCCACCTGCCTCTTCCAAACCCCTGCTTCCAGCTGTCAGACACCCATGGCTTCCTTAGCAGGGGACGAAACTCAGGAGGGAGGGGGGCTGAGAGAGAGAGAGAGAGAGAGAGAGAGAGAGAGAGAGAGAGAGCTGAGGCCACCAGCAGCCAAAGGGAGGATAAGCAGCACCAGCTAGAAACCAAGACCAGGAGGTGGGGGAGAGAGTGAGAGCTGGAAGAAGGAGCGGGGGCCAGCCTGGCAGAAAAGGGAACCAGAGGGTGGTCAGCAGGGTGGTGGCCTGGGGCCCCCTTTATGGATGGGGAAGAGGGTGAGAAGTCTGCCTCCTTCCAGAAACACCGAGCACCCAGGCCAAAGCTCCAGCCTCAGAGACGCCAGCAAGGGCCCCGGGACCCACCTGGCCTGGGTGCTCACAGCCTGTGGCCAGAAAGCCAAGGGGTGTGAGAAGTCCTCGTGCCTGTTGGACTGTCCCTGACCTATAGTCCTCGGGGTGTAGCCCCACCTGCCACGGCCGTGTCACGGGAGTCTGTTGGGATGTGTGATTTCAAGTCCCGTCCCAGAGGTGGCCCAGCACCACAGGCAAATCAAAGAATCGTCCCCCCTTCATTTTCCACGCACTGGCGACCAGTCTGAACCGCCCGCCTAGTTCATCTGTTGGTCTGTCCATCCTTCATTGACCCCTGTCATGGTGGTGGGCCTGCGCACAGGCTCCCACCTATTCCTTACTGGGAGGGGAGACCAGCACATAGCCAGGGGTTTTGGAGGTCATATGAGAAGAGGCAATAACAGGATTGGAGGAGGAGGAGGCTCTTTGTGGGCTCCCTGCAGGCCCAGGTATCCAGGTGACCAGTCAGCCCTGAAGGAGGAGTAGGAGGTTGGCAGGCGCTGAGCCAGGAGCCTCTCCACGGGACAGTCCTTTCCCTGGCAGACGGCACTAGGTCTCCCCGGCCCCCACCCCTGGGGACCTATCTGAGGGCCCTCCTGCAGCTTCACTGGTCAGTGGTCCTGCCCCAATGTCCACGCCCCTGCCTTCCCCTCCACCCCTCAGGACACCGCTGACTACGTGAAGCCAGTGACCTTCTCGGTGGAGTATTCCCTGGAGGACCCCGACCACGGCCCCGTGCTGGATGACGGCTGGCCCACCACACTCAGAGTCTCGGTAAGTCTCTCCCACCACGCCTTCCCGCCTCCGTCCCAGCAGATCCACAACATGCCCCGTTCCGTGGTCACCTGGAGCTCTGACAGCACAATCCCTAGAGAGTCAGGACCAGRCCTTCTCCTGCTGGAGGCTCCTCGGTATCCCCGGTACAGGGACCACTGAGTAGGTGTTGGAGAAACAGAGTCCCAGGGCCAGAAAGGATCTGGGACCTCCATCATCCACCTCCCACGTTTACAGATGAGGACGTGGAGGTYAGAGTGGCTCAATCACTGAGCCTGGTCTTCTGCTGGTTGAATAACTGACTGATGAACACTCTCCCAAGCCTGCCCCTAAGTATTCCAAGAAGAAATGTTCAGCCTCAACATTGACTCCGGCCTCACCCTCAACCACATTTGCTAATCCCTAGCTCTGGGACTTCCCTAGTCCTGTGACGTCCAACACTCAGATGCATCCCACGTCTGCAACCTCATGTGGACCCCACTCAAAGACACTGTCAGACAGTGTCCGAACTGGGCTGGGGGAGCAGACAAGGTTTGTAAAATGCAATATCTAATGCCTGAGCCCTGAGGACTGAGAAAGCACCCTTAGAGCCCACCTAAGCCATGACCTTGAGCTCCGGTCACTGAGCCAGTCTCTGAACACTGCTGAGTCCAGCTGGCAACCGATTTCAGAATCACTCGAGTTCTTACTTGGAATTCTCCAACACCAYGAAGGGACTGTAGGGGAACAGCCAGCTTCTTACCGTCCCCTCTTCTCTCACCACGTCCATCACCCTCCCAGTCCCTCCGCGGTCCTCCCCAACAAGGTCCCATCCCTGAGCTGGCGGAGCTGCTTCCTCTCGGTGAGCCAGGAGTGATGAGTGAGGGCAGTCACTCCCCCTCCACACGTGCCAAAGTCCCTGAGGCAGACTGGCCTGCGGGCCGAGCCCTGCTTGGGCCGTGATGAGCTAGATGCCCGGTGGTGGCGAGGGTCCCAGGCCAGGAGGCAACATGAGCTCTGAGGAAGTCAATGAAGCAATCAGATGACAGCCCCGGGGGACCTCCTGGTAGAGGTGGCTTTGGGCTGGACTTTAAAGAATAGACAAAATTCAGACCTGCAGTTCTGGGGAGGGTGGGCTTTAATTCCCTGGAGCACACTGTAATGGGAATGGGGAAAAGCAGAGGAAAGGAAAATGTAAAGAAAAGGTTAAAAAGRAAAAAAAAAAGCCAATWAAGAGAGTCCAGGCGTGTTATGTTACGGAGGCCTCTAAAGAGCTGCTAAGCTTCTCAAAAATCTTATTAATCTAGATTTCTAGCCCCCAGCAATCAAGAAACACGCTTCCCATCACTCACACGAAGTCTCACTTGGCATCTAGTAAGTGTGTGGTGCTGTGTCCACTCGGCCACCTCTGGCCTCCTGGGGAAATGGGCCRTTCCGCATCGTCGAGCGTGATAGCTGCTTATCATGTCAAATTGTTCCTTTAATGACTGGATAGGGCTGCTTCTGAAGGTCATCGTAGAGTTTCCAACTTCTCCGACAGCAGGCAGGGTGGGGGGCACAGGAGTGTGATCAGAGACGGGAGCCCACCAAGATGAACGAGGCGCTAGAATACTCGAAGCCCCCGAGGGCCAGCCGAGCCTGGGAACCCGTCTCGGGGTTACGTGACTTCCCTCTCCCCAGCTGTCGCTGTAGTGCGTCTGCTTCCAAGTGCAAGTTCACCGTGCAGTGGCGAAGCCCCATCGATAGTGTCCACCTGGAGAGCCACAGGGCCCTCCTTTGAGAAAGGTCCCTGGCCTTAAGACACGTGTGCCTCTGCGACCTCAGCTCCTCCCCGGGGTTTGGGCCGGGCTCTTGGTGGCGACAGGACTGCTCCAGGCTTGMATCTCCCACTGCCCGTTGAGCCTCTCGCTGGGGACAGGCCACAGCACTCCCAGCTCAGCACCCCCTGGCTGACTTCCTCTCCACCTCTACACACAGATGAAGGGCATGACCAGCCCCCCAGACATTTGGAAAAACTCGACAACAGCCAGGRCCCCTCCTGCCTCAACCTGAACCCCTGAAGCACTCAGTGACTCCTGTCAGGAGTTTGGCATGGCCCAAGTCCCTGTAATAACTATCCCCTGCTCATCTCTTCCTTTCCTCCATCCAAGTGTCTCTTATTATAGCAACACTAACTAACCAYCTGTCATTTCCCAGACTCACTCCTGCCTCAGGACCTTTGCATAGACTCATCCTCTCTCTTGACTTCTTGCTCCCCTGGTCCCTTCAGYGAACTCAGTCATCATTTAGAACTCTGACCCATTGTCACTTCTGAAGCCTTCTCTGAACACCTACAGGCCAAAGTAACTAATTCTCCCTTTTGCTGTTTCTACTCCTCATATTTTGTTGTATTTGGTTGGTTTTTTTTGCATATTTACACTATAGTTGTTCATGCACCTGTCTTCCCCAAGAGCTGAGGGCAGAAGCTTTCTTCCTCATCCTGTGTCCTCAGTACCAAATGCCTTTCCCCACACGAACCACAGGATAGGTAACTACTGACCAGGCCKGCAGTGTGGGGCCTGGGGAAAGGGCACAGCAGACCCAGCCATGTCCAGTGAACAGACGGCTGCTGTGCCATGACTTTGAGGGCTGGATGCTGGGGGTCCCTCTCCAGCCCCCACAACTGGCTTTTTCTGGCCCAGGTGCCCTTCTGGAATGGCTGCAATGAGGACGAACACTGTGTCCCTGACCTCGTGCTGGATGCTCGGAGTGACCTGCCCACAGCCATGTGAGTTGTCCCCCACACACACCCTGCCCCAGCCTCGCTGCTGACCCCGGGCTCAAGGGGCCCTGGACTGTTCCCTGCACACCTTTGTCACAGGCCGTGAGTGTCTTTCCAGACACTGAACTTGGGGCCTGGTTCTCACCAGGCTCTGCTTCCAACCCCTGTGTGAGCTCAGTCAAGTCCCCCCTCTGCGGGCCTCAGTCGCCTGTTAAAATGATGCTGCTGTCTACCCTRATCTCTTTAAACTTTGTAGTTTGAGCCCAAACTACAAAACAGATGGAGCATAGAATCAGGGGATTCACTTCTGGGTACTTGTTCTCCAGCCCCCAGACTGGGCAACCCCCAGGTCCACTGGCTAAATGCCTGGACTTTCCAATCCTGCTGATGGCAAGATGCTAAGGAGACTAGTAGAAACTGAGCAGGGTGCCCACAATCCCCTGGGGAAATGCAAACTAGCACACAAGGAAAAACATGAACAATATCATGGCTACAATTTACATGTGTTTTGCAATAATATATGTTCAACTTTTATCCARTTATGAGATGATTCAGATAGAAAATGTATATGCCAGACATAATAAATAGAAATAGCACATCCAAACTTTACTGAAAGATGAAGAAGCAAATATTTTAACCATCTAGGCTGTAATCAAGATCATTTTTCCATCTATCTCTGAGTTTCCTGGCACCCAAGGCTAAAAGGGAAACATGACTAGTTAGAGATGCTACATGAGAGTGAGGTCAAACGAGGCTCTGAGCTCAGAGGAGCATGCAGCGCATCAGGGGGGATCCAGGGGTCTTTGGAGCAGGAGGTGGTCTTGAAGAGTGAGCTCTTTCCAGCCCTGCCATCCACTTTCCTTCCTCTCCCAGTGACTCTTCCCATAGGCAGAAGCCAAGCAAGTGCCCCAGGCCCGTCCCCTGCACCAACCCTGAGCTCAGCTCCGTCCTTGGGTTCCCTGCTCCACCTGTCCAACGCCTGGTGTCTTTCCCACAGGGAGTACTGCCAGAAGGTGCTGAGGAAGCCTGTRCAGGACTGCTCCAAATACACCCTGTCCTTCGACACCACGGTTTTCATCATTGAGAGCACACGCCGCCGGGTGGCAGTGGAGGCCGCGCTGGAAAACCGAGGCGAGAACGCCTACAGCACGGTGCTCAACATCTCCCAGTCCGCCAACCTGCAGTTTGCCAGCTTGATCCAGAAGGTAGGACCTCAGCCACCGCCAGCCKGGCCGAGGCAAAGACGGGAAGCAGGAAGGGAGGTCGGCGGGTCCTGGCTGCACAGGAAACTCACCTGTGGAGCCTAAATAGCCCGTCTGGTCTTCTCTGGAGTCTCATTGATTTGGTCCTGGGTGAAGCCTGGCCTCAGGGCGATTCTCCGGCTAATTTCAGTGCCCAGTCGGGTCTGGGGGCCTCTGGCATCAGGGCGTGCAAGCCCTGGGGTACACGGGAGGAACACCTTCAGCCGCGTCCCTGGCCCTGATCTGGAGGATGCCCACCCCCCATACAGCCCACCTACAGTTCTCCTCCAGGCTTCCCAAGGGTCCATCTCACCACCTAACAAACCAGAGCCTTTCACTCCCCACTTTAAAGCTCCGGATCATTCCCGGCACTTCCACAGGAGCTTGAGACTCTTCAGTGTAGCCCGTCCCAGCCACACCTGCGCTTCTCCCCGCCAACACCCCCGACCCCCCACCCACCCCGCACACCTGCTCCCACCAGCACCGCCCCTTCCCTGCGTGGCCTGCCCGTGTACACTGAGCCTCCCGMACCAGGCCCTGCCAGGGACGCCCTCTCCCCCAGGACCAGCCCCTGCTGCTGCTTGCAACCTGCCACTTGCTGCCTGCCCGTGACATCCGGGCACTGTGCGAACACAGCACACACTGGGCACTCTCAGAAGAAGGTGGAAACACAGTGGGCAGGGAGATTGTGTCCCCATTTTACAGAGGAGGAAATCGAGGCATGGAGTGGGCTTACAGGGCCTCTGTAGGACCGCAGAACTGGTGAGCAGTGGGGTGGACTCCTGCTCCTGAGCTGCACGCCATGGTGGGCCCAGCCTCCTGACATGCTCTCCAGCCTATGTCTCCTGGAGGGCCTCATGCCGCAGAGCCCTCTGGCAAAGCCCTGCGTGTGCAGTGAGAAAGTCACCAGTCCCTCATGCTGCTCTGTTGAAACCTCAATGCCCCCGTGGCAAGTGAGTGCACATCTGTCCCTGGAGCAGGACCAGGACTGAGTGTGTGGAAGTCCCTCAGGACCTGAGTGTCAAGGGAACCGCTGTGTTGTGCGGCTGCTGGGGGACCCCAGGTTCCCTCAGACGCAGTCTGTGACCTTGCTGGTTTGAGAGCACCGGGCAGGACAGACACCTCACCTCCATCTCAGAACCACTGCTCAGAGCCACCCACTCCCCCAGYGTCCACCTGCTGGTCAGGGGCCTGGTCTGGGGTCAACAGTACTCCCCACCCACTGCCCAGAGGGAGGACAGGGAGCCGTCTGATGGTCTCTCAGTGCCCTCCCTGCCCCAGGATTTAGTGTCTGTCTGGAATTAGGATCCACAGGGGAATCAAGCCCCATCCCTGCACCCCCTGGCCCACCCTCCACAAGGCCAGTAACGGCCTGTCCCGACCCTGGGGAGGGAGGCATGAGTTTTGTTTCTGTGGCCCAGAAGGGCTTCCGGAAGTACATGGAGGCAAAGAGAAGAGGAAGCCATGTTCTGTGAAGGGCTTGCCCACCGTGGCGGTGGGTGTGGAAGTTCAGCTCTCCTGTCCAGTCTCCCCGCATCCAGCCAAGGAGCTCTGGTGGAAGAAGCAGCCCTCTCAGCAGGATACAAATGAATGTGTTAGTCTGACCTCACGCCCAGGAACACACACCAGCCTATGTATACATTCACGTGCATATAACCAGGCACACGCACTGACGTGCAGACCAACACAGTCTGCACAGACATGTGCTGACAGCACGCATGTGCCCTGGCCATACCCACCATGAGAGCAGCGGCCAGGGAACGAGTGACTACAGCATTCTGGAACCAGACTCTGCTTTCCCATGTATTTATCACTTAATCCTGGGACAACGGCATGGTGGGTGCTGTCGTCCTCATTAGCAGATGAGCAGGARCAAGTGAGTGCGTGGCCAAGCCCAAGCACCTATGAGCCCCTCCCTCTGCTCCCGCTCACAGGGGACACAGTGCTGGCCCAGTGGGGCCCAGCTCACACCGGCCAAACGGTCTGGGGGTGCTTCCCCCTTGGCCTCGACCACCCTTTGCTCACTGGCCAACAGCCAAGAAGTGACCCACTATTCAGAGTCCCAGAGGAGACAGTGCTGGGGGGACTTTGTCGCAGGTGGAACCGCTGCCTCTCCCCAGTGCCTGCCCATCTGCTGGCCCCAGGGTTGCTCCTTAGCCTGTGGACCAAGTCCTGAGGCGGCACAAAGCCTCACGCCCCACCCACCCCCAGGTGTCAATCCGCAGCCCGCTCACTGTTTTTCTGAGTTGTAAAGATGTAAGGCCACAAAACCTCATTTCATGACTCTAAGAGACCCTTTCTGGTCCTGATGGAAAGCTCAYAGTCACTCCATGGGTCACGGAGCTAGAAGGCAGCAGGATCAGCAAAGCGCACAGAGCGGCTTCCCCTAAAGGTGGCCAAAGCAGAGTCTTCAAGTTGGCTGCAAACCCCACCCACACAGTGGTCCAGCAGGCTGGCCTAGGTGCTTCCTGTCTCTGGGCCTCAGTGTCCTGCCTGCAGTAGGACATCCAGCTGATATAGAGGGAGGGCAAAAGTGCCCCGAGCACCTGCCCATCTCTGCACCTGGCCACCAAGCACAGCTGGCTCTTGCATCATGCCCTGGGCCATGAACCAAGCTGCACCCTGGCCTTGGAGACCTGGATGCAGTGGTCAGAGGCCTGTGCCCCAGGCTTCAGGTGGGCGGTGGTCTCTCGGGTGGTCAGGAGGCAGYGCAGGTGGCTGCACACCTTGGGCCCTGCCTAACTGCTGCCTTGGTGCACCCCCCCCCCCCMGGRCGAGTCCGAGAGCAGCATCGAGTGCGTGAATGAGGAGAGGAGACTGCACAAGAAAGTCTGCAACGTCAGCTACCCCTTCTTCAAGGCCAAGGCCAAGGTTGAGGCTGGGGCAGGCTGGAGGAGTCTGGGGGAGGCACAGAGAGCCAGGGAGGGGACCAGAGTGGGACTGGCAGGTGGGAGGTCTRCAGGGGCTCCCAAGTATTTTAGTGGATTAAGGTCAGATGTGGCAAGGCCACAGTCAGGACCCCACCCCCAGGGAAGGGCAAGGAGAGTTCCAGGACCCGGTCAGCAGTGTGGTCTTGGGCTGCTGGACCAGGAGCAGGTGCCCTGCCAGCCTCTGACACCATTCTGTGTGGTCATGGCTGCTCCCCTCCCCCACCTCCAAGGCCCTCCTCCCCCTGAAAATCATGCTGAGGGTCTGAGGCAGGACAGGCCGCCTTTTAATTGGCTTTYATTAAAAACAAAGAGGAAGAGGAGGGAGGACCCTGCCCCAGCCAGCGGAAAACCCAGTTCAGGAGGATCCCAGGCCCCAGGCACAGCAGTCCTTCTTCCCCAGCCCACTCCCAGTCAGCCTGGCCCACGGCTGGGCAAGACACAGGCAGGGGCTGTGGGGTGGGCCAGGCCTGGTCCCGCTATGCCGAGGCTCAGGCCCTGCTCCCGTGCAGGTGGCTTTCCGTCTGGATTTCGAATTCAGCAAGTCCATCTTCCTGCACCACCTGGAGATCCAGCTCAGCTCAGGCAGGTCAGGGCCCAGCCTGCTCCCTCTCCTCCCAGCTTGCCCCTCCCAGGCCGGCTCCCTATCTGGCCCCTAGAACTCCCCTCTCCACACTGAATCCCACCAAGCCCTGCCCCAACCTGGGGAAGCCATGGGTGGGGCGAGGGTGGGCCGGCTGCCGCCCCTGTACACAGCCTCTCTTCATTCTTGGGAGGTTTGGATGTGGGTGGGAATKCTGGTCCCTGGCCTGCAGTTCTGCCCAAGAGCAGTGGCCCACACCTGGAATCCCAGCACTCAGGAAGCAAGACAAGAGGATTGCAAATTCAAGGCCAACCTCCACAATTTAGCAAGACCCCCTAGGGTCTCAAAATCAAATAAAAAGGCTGGGGATGTAGATCAGTTGTAGAGTGCCCCTGAGTTCAAACCCCAGTACAAAAACTAAAAACTAAAACAAAACAAACAAACAAAAAAAAAAAAAACTATAGTTCTAAAGCACTGTACATTATGTCATTCCTCACAGAAGTCCCTTAATCTCAACAAAGCAGAAGCTATTCCCCACCACACCCTCCAAATTATAATTAAGAAAAGAGAGGCTCAGAGAGGTTGAGTGGATTTCCCAACAACACATAGCATGTAGCTGCCTCTTTCCCTTTGAAATTTGTTTCATTTTTAAGAGAACTCTTCTTACTCTGTATGGGTCTGTCTGCCGCCCAGGCCTCCCTGAGGTGGCCTGCTATAGGTTGACACCATGAATCACCCGGTGACAGTAGTAAACTGTGTCAGGAGGGAGGCAGGAATTCTGTGCACTCTGGAGCCTCAGAAATAGCCAAGATCCTTAGCTGAGAAATCAGTACTCCAGSCTACCCAAGCCCCAGTGCTCCCGCAGGCGTGTACACACTCGCACACACACAGACCAGGGCATGGGGACTGGGCGGCCCAACCAGCCCACCAGCATGTTCTCGACTCCTGCTGGCTTTGCCTGCCCCGTGTGGCAGTTTGCAAGACCTTGGGACTCCCAGGCCTCCTCGGCCTCTTCCCTCTCTCCTCCTGAGGGAGTGGAGGGAGGCAGGGCAGGGTGTCTGTGTGTCAGGGGCTTAACTAGACCCCCAGCCCCGGGCCGGACTTGCACAGAAGAAAAACAGTGCTCAGGACAAGCAGGGCCAGATGTTGATGCCCTGCATCTGCCCTGGTAGCAGATGATGCTAGGCTGTTGGGGACATGGTGGCCCAGCTCCCTCCACGTGACTCTGAGCAGCACCTGCACCCTGCACCAGGCATTGGGGATCAGGGACCAACTCCACGTGAACCCCACTATCCTTCCTGCCCACAGCCCTGAGCAGTAGTGGGCAGTTCCACTAAGAGGAGGCCTGCAGGCAGGGGCCAGCCCCACACAGCCCCCACCCCAACTCCGGCCCAGGGTCCTCCCCAACCCCATACCTGTGCATCCCTTGGGAGGCGTCGGGGAAGGCTGGCCTCCACATGCTGGTTTCCCTGGCCTTTCTCCCCTGGGAAGGAGCCGGCTCCCTCCTGAGCCTGGCCTGGGTAAGCCATTCATGTCCCCCTGGGTCTGCCTCAGGTCCCTCCTGCTGTGGGGAGGCAGGGACCCGGCAGAGCAGGGTGGAGGGCGGGCTCCTCCTGACCTGAGTGTCCCCATAGTGACAGTGATGAGCAGGACAGCACCAAGGAAGACAACGCGGCCCTGATGCGCCTCCACCTCAAGTATGAGGCCGACGTCCTCTTCACCAGGTGGGCCATGTCCCCACCCCAGAGGGCACTTCTGGGCCCCAGTACCAAGGGACACGGGCAACAAAGAGCCAAGTGTGTCCCTGGTGGGTCGGGAAGTACAGCCCCTCATCAATGGTGGGAGGGGTGTCAGGCCTGGCCCCCTCCCCAGAGCTCCCAGCAGGCGCAGGGTGGTGGGCAGAGAGGCTCCCCAGCACAGGCCTGTCGGGTGGGTGCCCTGTCTGTAGGGAAGCTAAAAACAGAATTTTAAAGCCCTACTAAAAGTCTGCTTTTATCATTACCAAAGTAATTTTAAGCAATGCCACTGAGGAAAGACCCCCCACACACAGGCCACACTGTCCCCACCCACCTTGCAACCCACTAGCCCATCTGGCAGACAGAGAAGACAGGACACAGCACCCTCAGGGCGGAAGGGGGACTTCCAGCCCCAGAGAGGGCACACAGTGGGCAGGGTGGTGCTCACCAGAGGCCAYGGCCCCAGGTGGAGAAGCGGGGCAGGGATGGCAGGTACCAGCTCTCTGAGTGGTGCCCACTGAGGCCACAGCTAGCTGATCGCAGCACTTACTCTTGCTGAACCTCAGGACCCTTCTCGAGGCAGCATTCCAGGGGACAGAAGTGGAAATGTGGACGGGTGCGGTGGTGCACACCTGTAATCCAGCAGCTCWGGAGGCTGAGGCAGGAGGATCGCAAGTTCAAAGCCAGCCTCAGCAACTTAGCGAGGCCCTAAGCAACTCAGTGAGAACCTGTCTCTAAAGAAATTACAAAAAAGGGCTGGGGATGYGACTCAGTGGTTAAGCACCCCTGGGTTCAATCTCTAGTATCAATAAAAAAAAAGAGGAAATGCAGCTTTTGTGGTCTGGGGGAGGCAGCACAGGCCCACACCCTCTCCATTCCTTTGTCCATCAAGCCGACACAGGCTGCTCTTGGTGGCCCTTCCTGTCTCTGCAGGAGCAGCAGCCTGAGCCACTACGAGGTCAAAGCCAACAGCTCACTGGACATCTATGATGGTACCGGACCTCCTTTCCACTGTGTTTTCAAGGTAAGGCTGGGGGACGCCCCGTGGAGAGTGAAGGGCAGGAGCTCAGGACCCCCAACCCCCCATGCATGGGGGAGGGGAGGAATCTGGAATCATCACTCATGGCTGGAGCCCAGCCTGAGCCCTGTCACCTACTCATGGCACGACTTTTGGCAAGTTACTTCCCCTCTCTGGGCTTCTCAGTCTTCATCTAAAAAACATTCAGGCTGGTGGGGGCGGGGCAGGGGGCATAAGTGAGATGAACTGTGTCTGCCCGAGATTTTTTAAATTTTTTTTTAAAAAAGCAGTGGTTTAAGCACATCAGGACTGATGCCCTCCCATAAAAAGAAGTCCAGAGTCATGACTTCACAAAGTCATCCAGGATTGGGTTTTTGTCTCGCCACCCTCAGCATGGGATCCCAGCCTTAAATTCACCTTGTGGTACAAAATGGCTGCAATTGCAGTCATACGGTTCTCATTCCAGGCAGCAGGAAGAAAGAAAGGGAAAGAGCATGCCCCCTCCCTATTAAAAAACTTCCCTGGCGGTTCCCCACACTCCAGTGTGTCTCCTTGTGCAGAATATTACGATCTAGCTGAGAGGGAGCTGGGCAGAARCAGCTTAGCGGCCTCTGCTACAGTGTCTCCAATCTTCCTTGTCCTGAAATGAGTCTGTCAACTCCTCCTTCAACGGTGCAGGAGCTGGGGGCTGCAGACACCCTGAACTCTGCCTGGCTTGCCCAGGAGAGGATCAGTGACTTGCCCAGGGCCACACAGCTCCTCCTTGGGGTTGTACTCCCCGTCTCTCTGATTCCGAAGCCCTGCCTGTAACCACCGCTGCTCGGGCCCTGGATGTGTTGGGGCCAGGATGCCAACTATCACATGCTCATGTTTATATCCTGCCTTGATCAGCAGTTATCTCTCGTAATACAGTAATAGCTGTCACCGTCTCCATTCCTGCCTTAACAAAATCCCCTGAGCCACGAAGGGTTGAGACTGGAAGGGGTCCCTCTCTCAGCCCCGGGGGCCTGGCCCCGTCAGCCCTCCTGCACTGTGGTCCTCACAGCCCTGCCACCCTCTGGCCRAGCTCTGCAGCTTCCACAGTGAAAACGCCCGGGCAGTGGTCCTGCCCCAGATGGGCTGGGGGCAGCCCGGGCTGCTGGCCCTGTGGGCCTCTCCTCCCCTCCCTCAACTGCTGCTGCTTCTGCCACAGATTCAGAACCTGGGCTTTTTCCCCATCCATGGGGTGATGATGAAGATCACTGTTCCCATCGCCACCAGGGGTGGCAACCGCCTGCTGATGCTGAGGGACTTTCTCACTGACCAGGTACCACACGCTCTGGGAGCTGGCTCAGGGGGAGGGGGTCAGAAGGAGGTGGACATAGTCCCTAGGCATGGCCCCATGTCCCCAGACCTCAGCTCCTTCTCCCAGGACCAGGGCAGCTGGGCCTTCCCTGGGCAGAAGAGAAATGAAGCATCCTGGGAGACTGGGTCTGGCAGAGTGGCCGCAAGGCTCGGGGGGTGCGTGTGTGCATGTGTACCCGTGTCCTCCGCGCAGGTGAACACGTCCTGCAATGTCTGGGGGAACAGCACCGAGTATCGGCCAGTCCCGATGGAGGAAGACTTGAGTCATACCCCACAACTGGTGAGTGGCCCCAAACCAAGAGCCAGGGGGCTGGGGAGCTGGGCTAGAGGAGTGACACCCTGCTCCAGGGGCGTTTTGTTCCTGAGCACCTGACTCACATGTTCAATTGTCAGCACCAAAAAAAAAAAAAAAAAAAAAAAATTTGATAGAGACCAGAGGGGTTACGAGAACAAGGAACAAGTACGGAGCATGTCGTCTGGCAGTTGGAGAAACTGTCTGCACCAGCCACAGCCTGTGGAGCCTTTTAGGGCTGCTTCTCACACTCTTCCATGCATGCCTGATAGAAAGAGACTCTGCAGGATGCACGCCAAATCCACGGCAGTAATCGTTCTTGGCAGATGGGGAGGGCTGAACTTGAGGGTAGTCATCAACGGAGAAACCTGTCTCATGTGTAAAGTATTCAGCATACAAATGTAAATAAAATGCAATACATTTAAAAAGAGTTCATTGAAGGCCCGGCTATAGCTCAGTTGGTAGAATGCTTGCCTCACATGCACAAGGCCCTGGGTTCAATCCCCAGCATCACACACACACACACACACACACACACACACACACACACACACGATCCAGGAAGTTCCCCAGGAGTTTTTATCATGAACAGAACTTGGATTTCCTAAAATACTATTTTTGTACCTGTTGCATTGATCAGATTGTTTTTCTTTGAATCTGTTTATGTGGCAAAGGTATTTACAGATTCCTTAATGTTCAAAATTCTGTTCCTGGAACACACCCAGTCTGGTCACCGTGCATGACTTCAGAGGAGCATCAGATATGCCAACCCCAGTGTGTCTTCCGGGGAGCCTGGACCCCAGCCTATGTGCCCCACACCCACCCCTCTGCCATGCTCTCACCCAGAAGCGAAGCCCCTGTTGGTGGAACCGCATGGTGGCCCAAGCCCCTGGTGGCATGCCAGGTCACAGCCAGCCAGCTGCCTCCCCTGCTCCCTGTGGCCTTGCTGCTCCCACCAGACCCATCTTCTCTTTCAGAATCACAGCAACTCCGACGTGGTCTCCATCAACTGCAACGTGAGGCTGGCCCCCAATCAGGAAATCAACTTCCATCTGCTGGGGAACCTCTGGTTGAGGTCCCTCAAAGCAGTGAGTGGGCCTCTGGGCGAGGCTGCAGGGAAGGGAGGGAAGGGGCTGCGGTTGGCAGGTCTCCCACCCAGGGCTGCCCAGGAGGGGCAGGACAGAAGCTTCTGAACCAGCCCTGACTAGGCCTCTGCCTATGACTACAGCTCAAGTACAGGTCGGTGAAGATCATAATCAACGCAGCCTTGCAAAGGCAGTTCCACAGTCCCTTCATCTTCCGTGAGGAGGACCCCAGCCGCCAGGTGAGCCCCTGGGAACCCAGAAGACCTGGACTTGGGCCCCCCAGGCTTGGAAAGGGCTGCCGTGCCCTAGGTTCTCCTAAGAGAAAGATGGGCAGGCTAAGCAGAGAAAAAAAGGCAATAGGAATAATCCTTCAGGCAGGATGGGGAGGGACAGAAGTGGGCAGGTGCCCAGTGCCTCTCCTCTCCAGCTGCCGGCCGGCACCTCAGTTCTAATGATCTGCGAGCAGCCTGGGTGTCTGGGTGTCAGGAGCCTTGTGTGAACTGCAGTTGTAAAGACCAAGAGATGCAAGACGTCTCAGTACTTGGGCTCTTAAAAAAAAAAAAAAAAAAAGATAAAATCAGATTGTCACAAATCAYACTGGCTGCAGTCAGGGTCCAGGAAAGGGGCAAGGTCACTGAGATAGATCCTCTCTGGGACTGGGAAAGTTGGGACTGCCCAGTTCTGCAGAAACAGATGGGGCAGCCAGGCGTGGGACTCTGCTGCCCTCCACTGGCCACATCCCAGAATCACCAGCCTGGGCTCTGGGCAAGAGTCCCTAGACACAGGAGAAGTAAACTCCACCCTGCCCCAGGAGCCAGGGACCTGCAGGACAGGCAAGGTCTGGAGGCCAGTCCTTAACAGAGGAGGCCAACAGACATCAGCCCCAATCAGAGTGGGGCACAGCAGGCCGAGGGGCAGCAGGGCCAAGCCCAGAAGCCATGAGGAGTGGGGACCCACCCAAAGGCACAGTGGGGAGCTGTGGAAGGCCAGGCCCGCAGGGCAGGGACACAGAAGCACCTCAGCTCTGGCCTCAGGCCTGCAGTCACTGCCAGGCTTTCCTCCCCAGGGAGCCAGCACCCACCCAGCCTCCCCCTGTTCTTCATCCATCTGGCCTGTGTTGGGTGCCCCTTCTACAGCTCCCGCCAGGCAGAGGATAGAGGTGAATTAGGCAGACAAGAGCACAGTGACCACCAAGTGTGGGACAATGTGGGGAAGCTCGGGCATTGAAGGAAGTGTCAGGGCCAGGAATGTCCTGGGGATGGTCCCTTTGAACCGATTCCTGAAAGATGTTAGAATTTTCCAGGCATCCGAGAGAGGAGGTATGGCAAGCCCCCTTCCCACACAGACACACCACCCCTCTCACATCATGGTTCTGTTAGGGGACCTCTTCCATCCCCCAGCCTTCCAAAAACAATCCCTCTTAGACTCTGTAGACACCTCACTTCTCTTGTAGAAATCCAGCAACCTCCAAATTGAGCACCAATACCACTAGACCCAAGGCAGGTGGGGAGGTAGAACAAGGTCCCAGCCTGCAGGGACAGAAAAAGATCTTACAAGGGACCGGACCGACCATATACAGAGCCCGAGTATGGGCCCAGCACCATGGCAGACATCACAGCATCTGACTCACTCCTCACCACCCCATGAGGCCCGCCCCACACCCTACTTTTCAGACACAGAAACTGAAGCTGCAAGTTCAGGAAGGGGAGCAGGGCTGCCTCAGGCTGACTAGGGAGTCAGTGGCCGGGGAGGGCTCTCCCGGGCTGTTGCAGGTGAACCCCCCACGGGTTTCCTGAGCTCCTACCATGTTCCAGCYCCTGTCCCAGGCATTGAGTGGGGACGCCTTGCAGGCAGAGGGCACAGCAGTGGTGTGGCCCCACAGGGGCACATGGGCAGTCAGAAGCCAAGTGGTGGGGCCAGGGAGTGGGAGCCTAAGGGCCAGCACAAGGCCTTCCTCCCTCCGTCTGAGTGACAGGGGACTCTGAGCAGAAGCTAAGTCTCCTTTCTGATTGAAAGCATCCCCCTGGCCGTTGTGCTGAGCATGGGCAGAGCAGGGGGGGCAGTTAGGTCACCATCGCAGACTCCAGGGAGAGACCGGCTCAGACCCAGGGGCAGCCCAGGAGGTGGGGAAGGGCAGCCACGTTCTGGGTGTTTCTAAGGAAATCCTGCTGAGGGAGTCATATGGGTGTGAAAGTGAGCTCCACGAGGAGGAGAGGTCTGTGGCCTGAGGGTAGCAAGAGACAGACAATGCTGCCATTGGCTTTGGTGAAACAGATGCCAAAGGAACAGGTCTGGGGTGAACAGCAGGGTCAGGAGCTGGGTCGGGGGCCTATGGAAGCTGCCAGGTGTGCCAAGGAGACTGATGGACACGTCAGGGACTCAGTGGAGGGGCCAGACAGAAGATGGAAACGTGAACGTGTCACCAGTTACAGTGAAAGCCAGTGAGTCCCAGGGTTGCTCTGTGATTTCCACGGCCCTGGCCAACTTTTGCCTTGGGGGCCCTTCCTCCACTAAAACATTAATAAACAAATAAATTCTTACTTTTCAACTTGTTGGTATGAAAAGAATGAATATAATTCAGGTTAAATTGTCTTTAATTCTAATTGTTTTTAATTCTAATTTTTAAGGCAAGTAAAAATTTCCCGGGCCCCTAAAAGTGTTGTGGGCCCCAACCCTGCCTATGATGCCCCAGAAGGCTGCCCTGGGTCCCCTGGGGAGTGACCACAGGAAAGGAGGAGATATGGCATGGGGCAACCCTGGGATGTTTGGCAGACAGTGAGGAAGCGGCAGAGAGGATGGAAAAGGAGCAGCCCAAGTGGCAGAATCCAGGGAGAGTGGGTGGCCAAAGCAGGAGAAGCAAAAAGCGACCCCCGGAGGCAGCCTGCCATGGGCCACCTAACGCTGGTGCCCACTGGGTAGGGGCTGGTGGCTGCCAGCCATGCCTGCCATCCCTCCAGCGCCTCCCTGAGGAAGGGATACAGTCCCCTCCAGGTGTCTGCCGACGCCTGCCCTGCCCAGGGCTGCCACTCAGTCCCAGAGTGGTGACACTGTGGACCTGGCTCCCCCTCCCTCGCAGGTCACGTTTGAGATCTCCAAGCAAGAGGACTCCCAGGTCCCCATCTGGATCATCGTGGGCAGCACGCTGGGGGGCCTCCTGCTGTTGGCCCTGCTCGTCCTGGCACTCTGGAAGGTGAGACCTGCAGGGCAGGGACACAGGAGCATCCTGGCCCAGGGGCCCAAGCCTGGGGCTCTCAGCCCTGTGGTCACTGCCATGGGCTCCTCTCCATGAGAGCTGACAGCCACGGGCCTCCTCCTACAGCTTGCCTGTGGCCATAGCGCCCAGATCCTCCCCACAGCAGCCACACTGCTTAAGGCCAGCAGAGGGCATCCAGACTATGGCTGTAACCCTTCTCCACTTCTGAACTTCTGGTTAAGAACCCCAGTCTCAACCTCCTCTTGTTACTACTGATAAAGTGAGGAGGCCCAGAGGGGGATATTAACCAGGGCAGAGTCACCCAGGAAGATGGTGAGAGCCAGCATGACTTCTTGCATCCTGCTCATCCACGTTGCTCTAGTCCACAGAGCCATTCTGGTGGTGAGGGTGCTGAGTGAGCTGGGATATTCAGGGAAGCCCTGAGAGGAGACCCCACAAGGGTTGGGAGAGGGGCAGCAGGAGAGACAGGCCTTGTCCACCCTGAGACTTCTCCCTTTGCCTCACCACAGCTTGGCTTCTTTAAAAGTGCCAAGCGCAAGAGGGAGCCTGGCCTGCACCCCAGCCCCAAAGTAATGGAGTGAGGCTCCAGAGGAGGCTTCAAATTGCCGGGGGCCAGATTCCAGTGCAGGGCTGTGCAAGCCCAGGCCCGTGACCCACCGAGCGGAGCGGAGAGGACGCCAGCTGGCTTTGTACTTGACCTCATCTCCCAAGCGAAGGCGCCCACTCCTGGGATGGAACTCAAGTGGTGCTAAGAGGAATCGCCCCGTGGGAGGCGGAGACACCTCCAGTTCAGATCCCTGGGATTTGAAGGGAGCCTCCGAGGCCCACCCGAGGCCTCCCCCGGGCTCCACGGAGGATTTGCCGCCCCAGCCATCATGGTGCTAGGAACTTGCAATCATGCCCACTGAGAGACCCACGGAGGAAGACTGTAAATACAGCCACTCTGTCCCCGACCCAGGCCTCTACTTCCCAAAGGACCCCACAGCACAGCAGACCTGAACGCCAGGAGGCCCTGCCACCCCTCACCCAAGCCCTGGCTCCGAAGTCACACCACCCTCTGCCCCACAGACAGGCCCCCAAACTCTCCATGAATGAACCTGAACCCCAAAGCATGAAGATGACAGTGGCAGGCCAGGGATAAAGAAAGATGCTTGGGTGAGGAAACTGAACCAGACGAGCAGGAGGGACTCAGTATGCTGGGCGACATCAGCCACCTGTGTGCATCACTGTGCCACCCAGCTGCCAGTCGGTGGCTCTCAGCCTCCTGCCCTCCTGGCTGCCTCTGCCCAGCTGCTTTTGTTCCTAGGTACCTCACAGGAAGTGTGCGGATGGCGCAATCCCTTGGGCTCCTCGTTCCCACTTGTCTTCCAGCTGCAGCTGCAGCCCAGTAGAGGGGGAAGGGTAGGGCACCCCTCCCTGCATCACCCCTACACACACACACACACACACACACACACACACACACACACACAAGCTCGCTCACAACTTCCCCACCCCTCCCGTCTCCCACCACTGCCCGGGAGAAGGGTTTGGCGGGGCTGTGGAGGGGTCCTCTCTGGAATGCACTGAATAAAGCTCGTGCAAGGACCCTCAGGGCCTGTGCAGCTTTGGTGGCAAACATCTTGCCCACCGACCCACTGAACCAATGTCAGACCAACGATGGCACCCCAAGGACAAGGGGCATGCCGGGTGCCCAGCAGAGTAATTTATGCCTTAACCTTTTTCTAAGGTAGAAATAAAACAGGGATACATCAAAGGCACCTGCTCCCTTGTGCATAGTGCGACCTTGACTGTCAATATTTTTAAGAAATTAAAAGTGTTTAGAAACACCTAAGGCACTGACATTGCGCTCTGCGGCAGTGTGTCCAGGTGAGCCACAGCTGCTTTAACAAGGAGGGAGATGGCTCCCTGCTGCCTTCACATGGTGCTAAGTATGGGGATGGTCTTGCCCGCTGCAGGCTCCCTGCAGCATGCCTTCCATGGGGCCACCTGGCCCCTCTCTGCATGACATGACAGCTCCACAGTGGGGCACTGCCAGGGATCCTTCCTCCCTCCCAAGATCACCTGTTCCATCTTTGGCCAGGGTGGATGATTAGAACCCACAAGTTTCACTGTAGTGCCAACCCCTTAGTCCCAGCTCTCCTCCTGGGGATCCCAGGACTCCCAGCCCTCTCCAGCCTGGGGTTCCAGCAGTGACCCTCCCACAGCCCAACCCTGTTTTCTCACACACAGGCTGCTCTTAAACCAAGGTGTCTCCATTCTATTCTTGCATCATTCACTCCTTGGAATCCCAACAAACAGAACCTTAGAAATTACTTCCTCATTACTGAGGACACTCAGAACCAGAGAAGAGACACCCTAGGTTCCAGAGCAGAAGCAAGATGGAATCTAGGAGGGCTATCTGCCTGGCCACTCACCCTAGCCCAGCCACTCGCTCTAGTCCAGCCTCAGAGGGCCAGATGAGCAACAAGTGGTGAAAATAAAACCTGAATAGCAAACCCCATTTTTCCTTCCAGAATAAAAGAAACATTAAATCATACTCCCTGTCACTCATCACTCTTATGGGGTAACCTGACMAAAAGGAACTGATGAACCCACACTCAAAATAGCCCCATTTGATTTAGCAGCGGGTCTTCTTTCAGACATCACGTGCGACCACACTGCAGGCCAAATAAAACGTACTCTGCAAGTCAGCTGCAGCCCAAAGGCCATCTCCCTCCATACTTCCCAGGCCTCATGACAGCCAGATGGCCAAAGGCTGCAGGGCCTGGGAGGCTTGCACCTTGAAGGCCTGTAGCCCTGCACTGTGGCTCCTTTTTCTCCTTTCTCTTATGAGTTCTCCCTCTCTACACCTATTCACTCTGACGTAGAAAAGTCCAAGGCTGTCCCTGGGATTGCCTGGCAGGGCAGGCAAAGATGAGTAAGGGGCAAGGCCTTGTGCTCTTCCATGGCTGCACATTGCAATTCCCGGGGGGGGGGGGGGGGGGGCTCTCCAGCCCCTCAGGTTCAGATTTAACTGGCTGGGAGGGGGCCGAAGCGTCTCGCCTATTTGTTTCAAACTTCAAGTAACTTTGTACAGAGAGTTGGGCCCAACAGGCAAGTGAACATACAGGCTAGCAAATGAAGTGAGAGGTGGAAGCCAGGCGAGGTGGCGCACATCTGTAATTCCAGCAGTTTATGAGGCTGGGACAGGAGTTCAAAACCAGCCTCAGCAACGATGAGGTGCTAAGCAACTCTGTGAGAACCTGTCTCTAAATAAAACAAAGAATAGGGCTGGGGATATGACTCAGTAATTGAGTGCCCCTGAGTTCAATCTCTGATACACCCTCCACCACCACTCCCCAAAAAACTGAGATTGATATGCACAAGTGACTTTCTATGTGCAACAAATACTGGGAACCACACTGTCATTGTCAAGGTCCTTCAGGTTAACCTGGCTCTAGTCTGGAATCAGAAAGACCCTCCAGTTACATCAAGTCTTCAGGGTGGGATTTGTTGCAGATTTTACCATTTCCCAATGTCCTTGTAGCCCCAGTGGCTCTGGCAGGATTTGGATACATTTGCTATTGACAAAAGGAGTTGAACAGAAGTCCCTGAAGACAATTTTGGCATTTAGAGGCGAGAAGCCCCAAGTACAACCTCAGAGTACCACTAAAATTCATATTTCAGTTCACAGATGAGTGTTTTCTACCATGTTCTATGTGCTAGTTAATTATTTAGAAGGAGCTGCGGGTTAACCCTTGTGTTACCATGAAATATAGCCAAAAGTAGTTCAGCCATGGAAGGGCATTATGGGCCCAACCTGGACACCACTTTGAACAAGCTGCTTTGCGCTCCTATGGCTATAGGACAAGCTAGTTGTAGCAAACTGAAGTACAAAGGAGGAAAAAAAAAAAAAAGTGTACTTGGGACAAGTTCTGATTCCTGGAGTAAACCAAATTACCGAGGGGTGGTTTTGGAATTTGGCCCATAGATCATAAGGATTTCCAAGTTCTAGGCTGGTTGTCTGGTAGAAACAGACCTCCAAGTTGGGAAATGAGGTGGGAAAGATGTCCCTGATGATGTCAAGGTAAGACTCTGACCTGGAGCACCTGTAGGACCCTGCCCAGAGACAGCCGCATGGACAGGGCCAGTTCTCTGAGAAGACACAGAAATTGAAGGGCAGGCCTTGGTAGATCCAAGAGGCCTCTCCACAGGCTCCAAGGGAAGTGCGTGTCTATTAGGGAATCCCTCAGTTCTGGCCCACTGAGCTGRCGAGGAGAAATTCAGCCAAGTGTTTCTTCTCTGTGGCATTAGGTGGGATGGGCATGCAGGCTGAGGGCTGTCTCAGAAAGCAGATTAGTCAGAGCTGAGCTTCTCCAAGGGTGGCCCCAGGGCCACCTCAATCAGGACCACAGACTAGCATTTCCCCCTAGACCTCACAGTTCCATTTCTGAGGCAAATCTAAGCATGTTAAACTTAAGAGCCATAAAATTGTTATTCCTTGTTCTTCAATGTCGTTTCTTACATAGCCTATCTCAGCTGATGTTCAGCTGTGCCTGGACCTATCTTGGTGGCATCATAACAGCAAAAATCCAACCAGTGAAAACAGTAGACTCGTGTGTTTTACTGCTGTTAAGGAAGGTAGCATTTCCTCACAAGTCTGGTACAAGGTAGAAGGGGCAAAATGCTAATAGCATAAAGGTGCAAGGTATCTCACCCTGGGACATGAGAGCTGCTGGGAGATAGTGTGGATCTCTCCTTCCCTAGACCTTTATGGGATAAATGGCTTCCTCCTTTGACATTCAAGAGCCATTAGCCCCCACACTCTCCCAGAATAAAACACAAGACTAGGGTCAATCCCCTGGCTTCATGCCCCAGGATGCCAAACAATCTGCAACAGAAACAGGGGGCTTAATCACACTCCTTTCTGACATGATGACTCACTGCACCCAGACTGGAGGTACTCGGGTCTCCCTGCAGGCAGATGTGCCTGGGGTGAATTATTACAGCCATTAGCAGTGAACGATCCTGTTTCATTCCACACACACTTGCCTTGGTCTTTGCTTCAGTTAATGTGGGGCCAGTTCTTTATTTTGCACTGCTTCTTACCATTAAAAAACATCCCCAGGGGCTGGGGCTGTAGCTCAGTGGTGGAACACTTGCCTCACATGTACCAGGCACTGGGTTCAATCCTCAGCACCACATAAAAATAAATTAATTAAATAAAGGTATTGTGTCCATTTAGATCTAAAAATATATTTAATAAAAAAAATTCCCAAATTACATCAGCCTCTTGTCATGGGATGGTCAACTCTAGCCAACCACAATATAATCTGCACAGTGCTTCTGTGTCAGGTTATTCTATTAGGTTTGACATCATGCTAAAGTAGGACAGCATGTTCCAAAACAGAAACTGAAACAGGAGCGGAGGAGCTTTGCTGGTATAGTGAAGGTCAGGAGCCATGCACCTGGGCGCTAAAACTTCTCAGTAAGATATGGGATAAACTGTACCTAGCAAACTCATCAGGATCAAAGTAGGGTAGGAGCAGAAAATTATTAGAAAAGGAGGGCACCATTCCTTGACGGACTCATCCATCCTAATCAGTCTCATGTGTTCCTTGCTTTTATCACCCTGGAACGACATCAAAGAATATGTGGCAACTCAATGTGTTCTAAAGGTGGCCCATGCCAGAATAAAATGCACTGTAAATTTTTATTTATAAAAATTGAGGAAAAATTGAAAATCAAATTTCAAAAAGGGTCACCTTGCTGACAACAAAACCTACATTACATATGTAATTTAAGTGTAAATAAAGCCACTTTAAAGTGGCTTTGTAAAAACATTAAAATTTCTAAGTATATGTAACAATATAAAAAAACAAACCCAATGGTAATAAATGGAAGGCATTTGTAAGACTTTCATTAAAAATAAAACTTTAAAATTTCTGGACAGAGTGACACATTAAAAAATACTTGACCAAATGGACATATCTTTATTTTTAATGAAAAAACTCAGAACTAGGGCTGGGGATGTGGCTCAAGTGGTAGCACACTTGCCTAGCATGTGTGAGGCACTGGGTTCGATTCTTAGCACCACATAAAAATAAAATAAAGATATTGTGTCCACCTAAAACCAAAAAATAAATATTTTTAAAAAAGAAAAGACTCAGAACTATGGAGATGTCCAGTCTTCCTAATCTACTGAGTCCAATCTATTGATTCAAGGCTAAACAAAATCATCTCATAACATGATCAAATAACACCAATGTTTATCTGGAGAAATAAACATACCCTAGTGGAAAAAAATTATCCCCACACACACAAAAAAAAGACAAATGAATACTAGTCCATCTAAGAATACTTAACATTTACTAGACACCTGAATATGGCAAGCACCATATTTTTACTAGACACCTGAATATGGCAAGCACCATATTAAATATTTTAATTACATCCATTTGCTCATCATAGTCCAAGCTAGATAATATTATCCCAATTGACAAGCAGGATACAAAACTCAGAATCCATAAAACAAATGATAAATTTGACTACATAAAAATATAAATTTCTAATACAAAAACTATCATGTTAAAAAACAAAGCTAAAAACTGTTCAATGGCAAAAAATTTTCCTTAAACCTCCAGAGAATTTCTAAAAAATAGTAAGAAAAAGATCACAACCCAAATATAGGCAAAGGAAATGTAAAAGGTCAGTAATTTAAAAAGTGTCCAGCCTCATTAATAATAAAAGAACACAAATCAAAATCACAAAATAYGATTTTTGGTAAGTTTCCCTGGCAAAAAATAGATAAGCTAATATCTTATGTCTAAGAAAGGGACATGAAGATGGAAGGCAATTTGATAATCTCTTGTCAAGACTTTAAATACTCAGTCATTAAACCAGAAGTTCCAGGGCTAGGAATGAATTTGTTGAATGAATATTACATACAAGGATGTCCACTACAGCATTATTTAAAATACCCAAAACTGAAAACCTAAAAAGTTCATCAGTAAAGATCTGGTTAAATAAATGTTAAGTCCATCCACAGAATTAAATGCAATGAACTTGTTTTTGCAAAAAAAAAAAAAAAATTTAAGTTTAGAAATGGAAAAATGCTAGATACATGAAACCAAAAAGAAGTTCATCTGCATTTTCAAATGTAAAGAAGTATTACATATATGCACAGAGAAATTCTGGGAAGCTACTCAAAAAATGATTGCCTCGGTAGAGTCCAAACAGGAACAGGGAAGAGTTGAGAAGGTAACTTTAATATCTGAATTTTTTTCCATACACATGTATACCTTCAACAACTTTCTTTTAATGAACTGCACGAAAAGATCACCTCACATTGAACAATAAAGACACAAACTTCAAGGTAGTTTTTTCAAACATTTACTGAACACAAATACCATTTTTCCTTTTACACAGCAAGATTGTTAGTTTCAAATTAGCTGAGCTATTAGGACTGCCAATTGCCATGAAATTAAAAATGATTCTACATGTCACAAACTCAAATAGAAAATGTCATGCAATATATAAATTACTAATAGACTTCTGGTGCAGTCAGCAAGTTTACTATGTTTATTAAAGTCACGTAAGTGTTTTGACAAAAGTGCACAATAGAATGACATCACTGGGTTGTTATAAATCACAGTGAATTACTAGAGTACAACAATGTAGTTCCTCTAGATGGAGGATTGCAGGAAGGGGTGAATATTATGAAGGACAGGGTCTTTTCAATAGGTTCAGCCAGTCAAATTTTTACTCCAAACTATGCACCTCTGAAAAGACTGGATAGGAAAGCTGAGTTGTTTTTCCCCCCTCATCTTTTCTCCTCTACTAAGCAACAACAAAAAAGCCATGCACAAATTTTACAACATCTGATAAAAAATAGATACAAAACCTGTGCACTTCATCACTTGACAAAGCTTGCATCTTCGTTCCTTCGTTGTTTTGATTAGGCCATCCATCACATGACTCACCCCTAAATGAAAAGCTGTTAATTTAGCAATATTCACCCCTGCACACACATCAAGACACACTCCCCATAACCATSAAATCACTGTCCCTTCCCTGCACATGGACACACAGGTACACACCACAAATCTAGGACTAGAGACCACATTTACTTTACAGCTTTAAAAATTAATATATCACCATTATCAGTGTGGTATTTGTTTCAGAACCCATATCTGGGGAGGGGATACTGTACAAATCAGCCCATCTGAAGGAAGGTTTGGGCAAATCTGCCAGAAATGTCTAAGAAAGCCCTGAAATGTGATACAAATATCAAAGAGCTTTCTATTTTCAAAAGATGATACCCAGAACAATGCTGCACATTTTCAGAGTAGGAATGAACACAGCTTAAAATCCTGTGGACTAAAATCTTTTCGTAGAGCAAAAAGGCAGAGTTTTCTTTTCTTTACATACCTCTTAATGTTACAGGTCAGTGARAAAATCAAAACACTCATTTGTACATTGATACATATGGTTAGCCTAAAAACGAACATTTCAGGTTTTTCTAGAAATCTACCATAACAACAAGGACTCTATACTTTCATCCAACTACTCACTAGTTCAACCACTGGCTGCTTCTAAACCAGCAAATCATAATCCCAGATCCAGCAACTCACTCCTCACAATGTCCCATTCCAGAACAAGGAAATTATTCTGCTTGAATCATCCCAAGTAGTCTTATTCAGAGAGTAGCTGCCTCAACTATGGTGAAAACTATTAACAGGGTACCATTCCCTAAAATTTTAATTTTCAAAAACACTTGTCAAATATAGTTGGCATTTAGGGAGCTGCTGACCCCAAATCATATTTTTATTTCAAACAATGTTATCATAACTAAGTCTTCACAATTATCAATTATTAACCAACTATTAAAATAATGAAATAAAACCCTTCTCAGAAACAAACAAGACCGAAGCTTACAGATGGCCCATTTTTTGATTTGTTTGTTTGCTTACAGTTCCCACAGTTAAAAGTAGCTAGGCTGTGGCCTCCCAGAGCAATCCAGGGTGTCAACTGAAAAAAGCCATATTGTCAGATTCAGTTCTTACGTAAAAATGTGACCCCTTCTTTATCAACTGAAGGGATAGAACTGCTGCACATTCCTTGAGTTAAATAGTTAACTTAAATTCAAGAGTTCAATTTCACCAACACAGTTAAAAGCAGAAGACCCACCAAAATTTCACATGATTTGCAAACAAAAGTATCCTCCTGGGCTTCTAGTTCACCCAGATTTATAAGAAAATTCACAAGCAGGACAGAGAAATTTTGAGAAAGTCTGTAAAGCTACCAAACAAGAGTTACAATCCAAAGCATAATTCTACCAATAACAAACATCAAATGACAAAGGTGGCTGCAAAATGAAGACAGCCTAGAGTTCTCAGTGAGCTGATACAGAACTATTACCTTTCTTACCTATTCATTTTCTTTAAAAAAAAAAATTAAGTTCACAAAGGATTTGGCTAAACATATATTAAAATAATCCTACCAAAAGCAAATGTAAGAAACAGGCATGTAGATCACTTGTTTCAAGAAAAGTTTTATACAGGTGGTTCACAATTCATATTGAATTGGTATTACAAGACAGAATTAGATCCTCAGCAAGATAACGCACAATGTACTACTATACTATAGTTTTTAAAAAAGTCTAGTTACCACTAGTACAGTTCATAGTTTATTCCGCTATCTTCAAATTCTTTCTCCAAGTTTGTCAGCATTTCAATGAGCATGATTTACATTATCCAGCATTCAGTCTCCCTTCTTAAAAAATCATTAAATTTTTTATGTCTGTCTGAATATGTACATTTAATCATTATTCTCATTTTATAAATAAGTAATGTCTAAAATAGTGCTGGTTCTGGGTAGCCAATGGAATGAAATGTTTTTAAAACATGCAATATTATTTAAGTTTTGGTATTAATAATCATATACATTTAAAATGGAACCAACTAAATACTAAGTATCACAGCCATTCCTCAGACTGTCCAATATGTAGGCCTTGTAGACTGAAAAACAAAAGGTCTGATCTGAGCAATGTAAAAGGCATGATTCACTCACCTTGAGGAAGTACATTTTCTCTTTCAGGCCACTGAGAATTGCCAAAAGCAAGGTACAGTATTCCCTYGATTCACACCAGAGGATCAAGGACAGTAATTTCCAAATTAGGGCTTATTTCAATTCCTCCCTTTAAGCCATCCTAAAAACCTTCCTTGCAAAATGTCAGGTTAGGAAAATAGAAATCTATTACCATGACAGATTTACCATCAAAAGATTCCTAACTGAAGCAAGAAGACACACAAAGTAGAAATATAGCAACAGTATCTTACAACTTTGGGGGGGGAAAGCTTTTAAAGTCTCCCCTCCCACCATTCAAAGTATTTCATTTTGTGGGGTATCTCTATTTAAGGCCCTAGGTGCTGATTTTGTCTTGGCCACTGTTTCATACTGATCCAACCGCAATCTCTTTAATAGTTTACAAAACAATATCCACACATAAAATGTTAACTTAAATCTCATAGTTTTTTAAGTTTATATCTGATGTTGTGACATCATTATAATGCTTTTCATTAAGGAAAAAAAAAAGCTGTAGGTCTTCATTTACAGTACCATGCACTATGAGTAGCTAAGGCATTCATTTGGCACTAGAGAGAAAATTACAGATACAGCTAATTTTAATCTCATATCATTTTTAGCATCAATAGAAATAGGTATGTACCTTTTGCTTAATTTCTGTGATGCATAAAAGATAATCACAGAATACTCTTTAGTTTGATAGTTAAAATGCTGCTGATAAATGAAATAAAAAACAAAAGACCTCTGTACAGCCTATTGGAATAAGTGACATTTTGTGGTGGAAAATTTTGTAGCTCTGACAGAAATACCTTTAAAGTGGTATTGAGAATGATTTCAGCATCAAAAACACTTAATTTCCTACACCACATTAGTGACTTTTCTATTTCTTTAAACAGACTAAGAAAGTGAGATAAATCAAAAATATCCTGGTTCCTTTTCATTTGTCATAAACACCTTACCAGGGAAGCACAAATAAATGTCCTCAGGAAAAGTAGCTTCCAAATTTTAAGATACAAGAGGAAAGAAAGAGAGGACAAAAATAGAATGTATAACTACATTGTGACAATTTGTTTCATAAGAAAACAGCATTCATAATTTTTACATGTCTGAGAACTGAATCAAATGCAGATGGCTGCAATTTAGATAAATAACATTAAAACAAAGGCTTCAAATAATTCAAGCCTAAAGGCAAAGAGTCCATCAGTATTCTCTGAAAAGTTGGTTTAAGATTATCACTTTGAATATATACTACCCAGCATAATTCAACAATTTCAATGGATTTAATTTTATAAATCTGTAGCTATTATTAGCACTTTTGTTTTCAGATTAATCTGAAGCTATACTTTTTTTTAAGTCCTTCTGATGTTAAAATGTGTTGTATCACTTCACATACATTATGGAAGAGTGAAAACTATCTACAGCAGTTTGGCATATGCAGAACACCTGGATCTCCCATTACTTTTAATGTTCCTTTGTAGTTGTTTTTCCTCCATGAAATCCTCGAAACCGCTGCATGGATAACACACTGACATAGGCTAAACAGAAATACTTTTTGTAAAAGCAGCTGTTTAAAACATTATCAACTTGAAATCATAAATGTCCCTCATTTGTTACACAAACAGAATATTTTATATTCATTCCTTAAAAAAAAAAAAAAAAGACAAATAGTTAAGTGACCAATATCCAAACACCTTAATTATAGTTACACCTAAACAATGTGGCTTTGCTTAAAGTGTTTGAAATCAATTACTATATGAGGCTAGAAGACCAAAGACAGAACTAAGGAAGGATGGGTTGAAAGGAAAGGTGGTGGAAAGAAAAGTAAAATTTATGAACACATAATTCTATTGTCTGTGATTAAAGTCCTTTACTTTAGCACCACATTAAACGATTTTACATATCCAGTCACTTAATGAAATCCAACAAATTCTTCAAGAGTTCTGGGGATCTGGTCTTGATAGTTAATGTCATTAGCCCGAACTGCTCGGGCAGCCAGGCACTTGAGACTCATCTTCATTTGAGTTTTGAGTAGTATTTCAGATACCCCAGTTGTACTTTTGTCTAGTGGAGTCTTATTCTGCTTATTTGTCATGTCGGTGTGAGCGCCAGCTTCAACCAGGCTAATGATGATAGAGTGTAAGGTCAAAAAATCACTGATGGGCCTGTTGTACTGAACGATAATATGAAGGGCACTGTTTCCCTCATTGTCCACAGCATTCACCTCAGCACCACAGTCCAGCAGGAGCTTTGTGACAAGTGCGTTTGGAAAACTGCAGACATCATTGGTGTGGAAATCATCGACTGGGGTATTTGAGTTGACAGCTAGATGCAGCAGGGTGAAACCTTCACGAGTTCTGGGGTCAAGATGAATCAGGTTATAGATCTGCTTGTTAATTTTGCGCTGATCTTCTTCACTGCAATGTGTTTTGGTGGAGATGCACACTAAATACAGAAAGGTATAGAGATTACATTCGTAATTGTCCATAGCATTGTGGACATCAGCATCCGGGATATTTTTTACTCTGTTCATACTTTGTTCTATTTCCAAAACACTACATCTCAAAACACATTCTATGTCTGGGGCCTTCACGGTTTCATTCAAATGTATCATCTGTGAGAAAACTTGGGCAAATCGAAGAAGATCTTTGTGGGTATTCCTGTTTCCTTTCTGTCTGAGGTGGAGCGCATGAAGCCACAGCTTGATACACTGTTCAAATTCCATATTATCTGCATAAACAGCCCCCCTGTAAATGATGGGGTGGGAAACATCAATGTTGTCAGCACCTAAAATCCGTTCCCGAACTATAAGGCCTTCCATGTGAAGAGCATCTCTGTCTTGTCGAATGGATTCCAGTTCCTGAGGGTTTCTACATTCAGTTCTATTCCCATAAGCATGGATTGGTGGCAGAACCTCTTTTTCAAGAATGTTATCACCATCTTGAAACCTCTCCAACATAGCTAAATATAAATAGTGGTATGTCTTCATGATGTCATAGTTCTCTCGGTCATTGGCAAAGGAGGCACCCAAGAGTTCCAAAGCTTCGATCCGACTTCTTCGGTCACAATCAGCATGAGACAGCAACAGTTCAACAACATCAGCTTTACAGCTTTCAGCAGCTACTTTCAATGGTGTCATCCCATGGCCATTCACAACTATAGCAGCTCGCCATTTTATCAGCTCTTTCACAATATCTATGTGCCCGGCTTCAGCTGCAAAGTGCAATGCTGTGGCTCCACAATGTGCTTTAGCGTTGGGGTCAGCGCGTTGCTCTAACAGATATCTGACCACATCAGTGTGTCCCTTATATGCTGCGATCATTAGGCAGGTGTTGTCATACTTGTTGGCAATGCTGATGTTGGCATTATTTTCAACCAAATATTTCACAATGTCCAGTCTGCCATCAAAGCATGCTGCCCGCAGCGGGGTTGAGTTGGTTACTGTGGTATGGTTCACGTTGGCTCCATGGCTGACTAGAAGTTTAACGACTTCAAAATGTCCTGCTCCTGCAGCACACCAAAGAGCAGTGGCACCATCAATGACATACCTGCATATAAAAAGAATAAACAATTAGGTAATTGAAATCAGATGCCCTAACATAAGTTTAAAAGATGTATTCATCTGCACTGATAAGGCATCCCTCTCCAGAACAGTAATAAAATATTATTTCTGGTGAACATAAAAACAGGCAATTTTGGGCTGGGGTTGTGATTCAGCAGTAGAATGCTTGCCCAGTATATGCAGGAACCTGGGTTCAATCCTTAGCACCACATAAAAATGAATGAATGGAAAAAAGGTACTGTGTTCAACTTCAACTGAACATATTTAAAAAAAAAAAAAAAAAAGGAAATTTCAATAAATGTATTACTATCACTATTCTTTCTAAAGCTCGTGTGGTGTGTGTGTGTGTGTTGCTGAGAACTGAACCCAGGTCCTAATGCATGCAAAGCAAGCACTCTACCACTGAGTTACATCYCCAGCCACCTAAAGCATATTTTTTTAAAAGTATTTATTTAGAAGTAGTTGGACATAATACCTTTATTTTGTTTATTTATTTTTATGTGGTGGTGAGGATTGAACCCAGGGCCTCGACCGAGCTAGATGAGAGCTCTACCACTGAGCCACAATCCCAGCCTTGCTTTATAAACTGAAGAATTGCCCACTTGCTACTAGCAAAAAGCAAATAAATCTCAGAAAAAAAAAAAAACTGTATGAAGGTTTGTAACATCTTTACCACCAAGCTGATATTGTAGCTCTTAAAAACACAGCAGTCTCCCTTCATTAGTAAAACCCTATTCCCTACAATAACAATGTATTAGATACTGCTTTCAGGTGTGTGGAGGAAAAGCAGATAATATGTTCACTTTGTGAAATTATTATGTACTTATAATTAATGGGTTTTTTTGTGAATAGTATGCCCCAATTTGAAACATTTTAAATGTCTGTGTGTATACATGTATATGTTTCTACTTGTGTTCCTCAAACAAACTATTATTGGGGATTTGAAAGGGAGAATACTAACAGCAAAAAACAACTAGTACTTCCACAGAACCAAACAGGTTACCCTATATGATGGGACTTTGTGACTCCGTATTCACAAGCTACTTACTGAACCTCATACGTGCTAAGGTTGCTACCTAACATATAAAATTAGATTCTTGCCAGAAGTACAATCTTTCCCACTTTTCCACTTTAAATTTTTTCCCAATTTTTGTTTTGTTTTGTTGTTACTGTTTGTTTGGGGGATTAAACCTAACAGCACTTGACCACTGAGCTACATCCCAGTTCCTTTTCATTTATTTTGAGACTGGCCTGGAACTTAAGATTCTCCTGCCTGAACCTCCCAAATCACTGGGATTACAGATGTTTACCATTACACCCAATTCATTTTCTCAATTTTTAATCCTACTACTGACCATAAGTCCTAAAAAGTAGATATTTTCCAGAGCGATTCAGATCTACTATGCTATAAAACTAATAAGTACACATGCAAGTGTTAAGGAAAAAAGTCAAAGAATTATTCACAAAGGAATTAAGTCTACATAACAAAAATCTCACTAATGAGCTTCTCACTGCACAATCTTATGTTTTAAGGTTTTACGTCAAATCTATTCGCCATGAAGTGAAGAAAGAATAAGCTCCCCTTGGTGCTATGCTTTGAATGTGTCAGTTCGCAAATCCAGGTGTTGCCAATGTGAGGTAGAGCTTTTAAGAGATAAGTAGGTGATTGAGGGCACCTCCCTTCCCAAATGAATTAAGTAGAAAAGAGGCTTCATGCAGTGGTTGGTTGGTTGACGGCTGGCCTTCTGCCTTCTACCTTGTAAAGACAATATTCCATTCCTCCTCTCTGAAGAATTCAGCCCTCACTCACAACCAAACCTACCAGTAGCTCAATCTTCGACTTTCCAGCTTCCGGAGAAATGAATTTCCATTCTTAATAAATTACCCGTCTTGGGTTCTTGTTATAGCAGCATAAAATTGACTAAGATGTATAAGATAGTTTAACCTCAGTTAACACCACCACAAAAAAACATCACCCAATATCACTTTTGCTAGAAACAAAACACCCAATTCATAATTCAAGCAATTTTTTTTTAAATATTTATTTATTTATTTTTTAGTTCTCGGCAGACACAATATCTTTGTTGGTATGTGGTGCTGAGGATCGAATGCGAGCGTGCTACCGCTTGAGCCACATCCCCAGCCCTCGAGCAATTATTTTTTCCAGTTTCAAATCATTACACAAAATGAAGCGGGCATGGTGGTGCACACCTATAATCCCATTGGYTTAGGAGGCTGCGTCAGGAGGATTGCAAGTTCACAGCCAGCCTCAACACTGGTAAGACCCTAAGCAACTCAGTGAGACAATGTCTCTAAATAAAATTTAAAACAGGGCTAAGGATGTGTCTCAGTGGTCGAGTGTCTGCCCCTGAGTTCAATCCCCAGTACCCTCCTCTCAAAAAAAAAAAAAAAAATTATTACACAAAATGTCTATAAGTACAAGTCTTCTCAGCTGGCAATGTTTATCTATAAGGAGGAGAGTAGCACTAACTAGAAAGTCTTGAAGGTGTAAAAATGTCCTTGTATGTTGATCTGGATGAATATTTACAGAAAAATATTCAGCAAACTGGACACTTAAGATATGTGCATTTTACTATATGATAATACTCAAAAATTAGAAGAATTCTGAAATTTCTTTTTAAATTTTTATTTTTAAAAATGTTATTTGGGGGCTGGGGATGTGGCTCGGCAGTAKAGCGTTTGCCTCGCATGCGCAAGACCCTGGTTCGATCTTCAGCACTACATAAAAATAAATAAGAGAAATAAAGGTACTGTGCCCAACTACAACTAAAATTTAAATATTTTTTTAAAAATGTTATTTGGTCTGCACTTGCCTAGCACTTGCAAAGCCCTGGGTTTAAACCCAATCTCTGTTGAAACAAAGAGAGAAAGTCCATCTAATTATTAACTGATTTTTAAGAAATAAATAATCAGAAAAAAAAAAAAGAAATAAATAATCAGTAAATTAAGACATACCAGTAGTGTATTTTATTAATAGTTGCCAACTGTACCTATGGCCAAGAGTTCAGTTCAATAAAAACTCATTAACTATAATTATAAATACAAAGTTCAATAAAACGCTTTCACCGTCAACAAAAAATGCCATTTGCAACATCAAAAATATCAATACCTAGTCATAAACCAAATGAAAAACGTGCAAAACATCTACACTTAAAACTATAAAACACTCCAGAGGCTAACAGAAGAAAACCCAAAATAAATGGAGAAATGATTCAAGTTCATGGTATTGAAGACACCATAGTGTTCAGATGTGAATTTTCCACCAAAAAAATCTACACATCTGATAAGATCAAAATCTTAGCAGATGGGCTGGGGATGCGGCTCAAGCCGCGCTCACCTGGCATGCGCGGGGCGCTGGGTTCGATCCTCAGCACCACAAAAATAAAGACGTGTCCACCGAAAAACTGAAAAATAAATATTAAAAAATTCTCTCTCTTCTCTCTCTTTAAAAAAAAAAATTTCAGCAGATTGTGTGTGTGTGTGTGTGTGTGTGTGTGTGCATGCATGAGCACATTCACATGTATAGAGAAATAAACAGGCCAATTCTAAAAAGTATACGGAAATGCAACCAAGACAATCATGAAGAAAAATAAGGTTGGAGGACTAACTACAGTAATTAAGAAAAGCATGTCACTGGCACAAAGACAGAGAAACATATCAATAGAACAAAAAATTCTAGAAATGGACTCACACATGTAAGAATCACTTGTTTTATGACAAAGGCTCCAGGGAAATTCAGATAGAAAGTATGACTTTTTTATTAAATAGTGCTGGTGCAACTAAATAACCTCTGTGGCAAAAAAAAAAAAATAGCCTTGACTTCTATCTCACGCTATATATAAAATAACAGTAATATAAACCTTTAGACCTTTAGTCAAAATACAGTACCCCTTCATGTTCAAAACACTAGAAAAACCAGGGACAGTAGAAACATACCTCAACATCATAAAAGCTATATATGCTAAACCCAAAGCAAACATCATTCTAAAATGGAGAAAAATTGAAAGCATTCCCTCTAAAAACTAGAACAAGACAAGGATGCCCTCTTTCACCACTTCTATTCAACATCATCCTTGAAACTCTAGCCACAGCAATTGGACAGGAAAAACAAATTTAACACAGCAAAGTACAGGATATAAAATCAACACCCATAAATCAAACATGTTCCTATACATATGTTACTAATCTACCTAGAGAAAGTAGGAAAACTACCCACTCACAATAGCTTCAAAAAAAATAAAATACTTGGGAATCAATGTAACAAAAGGGGTAAAAGACCTCTACAATGAAAACTACGGACGGAACACTAAAGAAAGAAATTAAAGAAGATCTTAAAAGATGGAAAGACACCCCCCCCCATGCTCCTGGATAGGCAAAAATTAATATTGTCAAAATGGCCATATTACCAAAAGTGTTATACATATTTAATGCAATTCCTATTAAAATCCCAATGATATTCTTCATAGAACTAGAAAAAGCAATTCTGAAATTCATTTGAAAAAAAATTAAAAACCCAGAATAGCCAAAGCAATCCTCAGCAAGAAATGTAAAGCAGGAAGCATCACACTACCAGACCTTAAACTATATACTACAGAACCATAGCAAAAAACAGCATATTGACATCAAAACAGACATATAGACCAATGATACAAAATAGAAGACACAGAGACAAACCCACACACACACACACAAAAAAAAAAAAAAAAAATACAGCTATCTCATACTAGACAAAGGCACCAAAAACATTCACTGGAGAAAAGACAACCTATTCAATAAATGGTGCTGAGAAAACTGGAAAATCCACATGTAACAAAATGAAATTAAACCCCTATTTCTTACCCTGCACAAAACTCAAAGTAGAACCAAGACTTAGGCACTAGATCAGAGACCCTGCCCCTAAGAAAAGGAAAAAGCAGGCCCAAACCTTCATCATGTCAGCTTAGGACCTGACTTACTGACTTCCTT